GCACAATAAAAAATTTGCCGAGCCCCCCACTTATAAGGGGGCTATAGCCCGAGCTTTCCCTAGAAAGAATACATTTTTTTGGGTGAAAATTGGAACCAACCAGGGGTTAAGTCAAATACTACAATTAATTTTAATCATATATTTTATAGAACTCATAACTATTTAACAATATATTTTATCAAATTTTACTAAAAATCTGATTTTCCAAAGCCCCATTCATTTTTTTGAAACACATTTTCAATTACACATTTTTTAATAAAATAATATTACGTGTAAATTCAAAAAAGTTTCTTAATTTTTAATCATATATTCTCCATTAATCTACTATTTAAAATGCAATCTTTCCCCTTGGAATGAGGCTTAAACATGGGCAGAATTGGCAAAAAGGCTTGCGGGCTCAGGCTGCCCGTGGCCCGATCTACAAAAAGCTCGAGGCTCGATTTGAATGAGCCTAGGCTCAAGCCGAGCTCAAAAAAAAAAAAATTGCCGCGTAAGGCAGCATGCCAACTGCCTTTAAACAAAGGCAACCAGTTGCCTTTAAACATAGGCAGTTGGTAGTTGCCTTTACTTAAAGGTAACTACCAATTGCCTTTTGAAGGGGGAAAAAATCGAGATAGCTTAGCTTGATTTGGGCCGAGCCTCGATTTTTTGGTCGAACTTTTGTCAAGCTCTAGCAAAAAAAAAAGGCCCATCTTCAAAAAGCTCGAGCCTCAATTTTCTACTTGCGAGTTGATTCGACTCGATTCAATTCGACTGGTTGACATCTCTAAACAAGGGTAATTTCCAATCGATCAACTTGAATTGAAAAATGCTAAAAGGGGCAGGGATAAGGAACCTTCGCTCTTTATCTGAATTTTTGACAGCGAGCCCTTGATTTGACGTCACCTCAGCTCCGGTCAAATGCCCTGTCCCCACCCAGCAAAACTCACTTGAATTTCCGTCAATTTTCGGTGCTGGTCATTAATTAAAGCCTAATGCGCTTCTACAAAAATGTTCACCCATTCAAGGAATTTATGTACCTCTTTATTTCTTCACTAGTTTTATTTTCCCATTTCAATGGCTTCGGATTCCAAGGAGATAGCTATCGATTTCTCGCCTTTTTTTCGCCTGTACACCGATGCCCGAATTGACAGATTAACTCCTAATCAACTTGTTTCACCCTCTGATGATCCCAAATCAACTGTCAGATCCAAAGATGTTGTAATTCTAACTGAATCCGGCGTTTCTGCGCGGATTTTCTTACCGAATGTTAGGGATCTGCCACAGAAAATCCCCCTTCTGGTGTACATTCACGGCGGGGCTTTCGTTCTCGGATCGCCCGCAAATCCGCCATTTCATAATTTTGTAAGCTCTCTTGTCGAAAAAGCAAACGTGATGGCAGTTTCTGTTGATTATAGACTAGCCCCTGAAAACCCGCTTCCAATAGCATTTGATGATTCGTGGGAAGCATTTCAGTGGGTGATTTCACATTTCAATGGCAAAGGACCGGATCAATGGATAAACGAATATGCCGATTTTGGGCGGGTTTTCTTGGGCGGAGAGAGTGCCGGAGCCAATATTGCACACGACGTAGCAATCCGAGCAGGGGAAAATAAACTTCAAGGAGTTGAAATTGATGGGCTTTTTTTGGTTCATCCATATTTTGGTGGCAAAGAAGTTGATGAGCTGTACAAAATTTTGTGTCCTGCCAGTAGTGGTTGTGATGATGATCCAAGACTGAATCCGGCTGTGGATCCCCGGTTGCGGACCATGGCGGCGCGTAGAGTTCTGTTCTGTTTAGCAGAGACAGATTTATTGAGAGAGAGAGGGAGGGCTTATTATGAAGGGTTGAAGAAGAGTGAGTGGGATGGAGAAGTGGAGATAATTGAGACAGAAGGAGAAGGCCATGGGTTTCATCTGTTTCATCCGAATGCTGAGAAGGCTTTAGATTTGATGAATCAGTTGGCTGCCTTCTTGAATCATGAAAAATAGAATGTCATTAGAAAAGAGTAAATTATAAGCTGCTTTTCATTCAAGTACCTAATTTGCTATAGTACTGTTGATTTACACCAGAATAAAATGAGTTTGAGGTTTCTGAATTTCTTGTTTCAAGCTTGATTCGTAGAACTTACTTAGAGCTTGTTTGGGTGATTTTTTGAAAAAAAAATGAATTTGGAGAAAATAGCTTTAAACAACACATCCTCCAAAAAAGATATTTTTTATTTTATTATTATTTTTTTTTTTGAGTGAACGTGGCAATTACTCAACTTTCGTTACAAGTGCGGTCGATGTATATAGAATGAAAATTTACGAGTTATATCAACTAACCTATTAACATAGCAAATAGGTCCTCGGATAAAAATTAAAATGATGTTATTCAGTATCATTGATTCAATCATCAATTTAGGTGGTAATTGTATTAATTTAATGTAATGTAATGTCACATAATTCATTTAATTGAATCTATCGAATGTAGTAATCTAAATTGATGTTTTAGCATAGTTAGTGCTAAATATTATTATTATACAATCTTGCAACATGTACGTTATGGTTTAAATAATAATTTACATAATGTCGTTATGGTTTAAATAATAATTTACATAATGTCATATTACACTTTATCATTGAACATTTTAAAATACTGTCAATTTTTTAATCCAATTATTTTCCTCACAACTAATCTTTTGGCATTGGTTCTGAACAATTTCTTTTGACAAAGTAATTGGGAAGTCGTTTATCGAATTTTTGATGTGCTTTATGGAGCCTCCTAGTCCTCGAGGCAAGTGCCGGGGCGTAAATGCCACCCCACCAACCCTAACCACCATATTCCAATTAATATCCATTTTCAGTTTAATATCCTCCACAACGTATGAAAATCCAATCTTAAATCTTTTCCTTCATGGATCCCAACGTAACTGACCTAATTCACGATTTCCCACCATTCTTCCGAATCCACAAAAATGGCAAAATCGAGAGGTACTTAGAACCCGATATTGTGCCGCCGTCGAACGATCCAATCACCGGTGTACAATCCAAAGACGTTGTAATTTCGCCGGAAATACCTGTCTCAGCGCGGTTGTACCTCCCCATAAGTGTAACTCCCAATCAAAAGCTGCCACTCCTTATCTACATTCACGGCGGCGCTTTTTCGATCGAATCGGCGTTTTCTTCCCTATACCATGACTATCTTAATATTCTAGTAGCCGAAGCTAAGGCTATTGCAGTGTCTATTGAGTATAGATTAGCGCCGGAACATCCTGTTCCGGCGTGTTATGACGATTGTTGGGAGGCAATTAAGTGGGTAGAACTGCACGCTGGTGGACAGGGTCCAGATCCATGGTTGAATGAATTCGCGGATTTTGGTCGGGTATTCCTCGCCGGCGACAGCGCCGGAGCCAATTTATCTCATAACGCGGCAATACGAGCCAGTCTCGACGAATTTAGATCTGAAATCAAAATTGTCGGTATAGTTTTGGTTCATCCATTCTTTGGGAACAATGAACCTGACAAGCTCTGGAACTTTATTTGCCCGGAAACCACAGGGTTGAATGACACGAGACTGAATCCGGCTGCGGATTTGGATATGTTGTCGAAATTAAGGTGCAAAAACGTGCTGGTTTGCATTGCAGGGAATGATCGGTTGAAGGTAAGGGGACAGACTTACTATGACGCAATGAAGAACAGCAATTGGAAGGGCGAAATTGAAATTTTAGTAACTGAAGGAGAAGATCATGTTTTTCATTTGTTTAAGCCAACATCCGAAAATGCTGTTTTCTTGTTGAAGAAAATTGTCGGCTTCATGAATAAGGACATGCTTCCCTCTGTTCTTTAGGTTATGGAGATGGAAGTTAAAAAGCATGTTTATGTTTGTTGCTCGGTATTAGACTGCGGAATAAGATATTAAACCCTAGTTTAGTTTTATTTCCGCTTTGATGTGATCAATATCATGACTATAAGATTATAATTGAAAAGATTGTGTTCCAATCAATGTTTGTTTGGTAAACAAATTGGATGTAGTCTTTTAAAAAAAATAAAAAATAAATCTGATCAAACCAATCAAACTTAACTAACTCAGGTTGGTTCGAGTAGGTTTGACACATATAATTTATTTGGTTTGGTTTTCTTTTAAACAAAACCATGGTCGATCTATTCAGTTATGGTTTGAAGTCTCAATTCGTTAGTAAACCGAATCAACCCACTTATATGCTTACCATTTTTTTTTATTTAAGAAAAAATCAAAATCAAAAGATAAACTTTAATCTCATAAATATATACTGTGACCTTACAATACAAATTCTATTTTTTAGTATTTAGTAGGGAATGGAAGAATTAAAATATATGACCAAATAACCTTCAATTATCTAGCATAATAGTATTTAATATCTAGACGAACATATACACCAAATTTCATATCCAAATAACAAACTAAAAACTGAAAATCAACAATTAGGAAGCAGTAGATTTTATATATGCTAAATACAACGTAAATTCATTACTCTGTGAACATCGTAAAAATCAATATTCTCGACTTTTCTTTTCATCCCACGTTTTATTTGCCTCCTATCAGTGAATAAATTATAAAATAAAAAAAAATGATAAATTTAGTGCTTGATCCAATTAAAATGCTACACCTACCTTTCACACATTGGACCAACGGCCTTTTTGTATTGCTTTCCACAAATGTCTTTGTGTCTCACAATTTTTTTGCCCCTCATTGGTCCTATCGAATATGCCATTAGTAAAAATTGTGTTGTTTTCAAATTCCTGGAGATTTGGACATTGGACAAAGATTTTTCTACAATTTTAATTTTCCAAGGTTTTCTTTGAGGTTAATTTTTATTTTTTATTTTTCTTTGGTTTGATTATGACATAGGAGACAACATATTCCACTTAATTTTTTCACTCATTTTTTTGTAGTTTAGTGTTCATAGCTTTCAATCCTTTTCGCTAAAATAAAATATGGTTACGCTTCTTCCAGTTGTCGAAACTGAAATTCAACTACTCTTTTTGAAATTTGGTATTTAACTTCGTTCTTCATTTCTTCCGTTGCTTGAATGAAGAAACTTGATTAATCAATTTATTATTTCATATCTTCACTGCACGTATTCACATTTTCCCAAAATTTTAGCATACACTATTAAACGTTAGCTAATTCAAGTTATCAAATAGACAATAAAATTTAGTATAGATCTCAATATTGTGGTCTGATTTTTATATGATGAAGGTGGTTACCAAGTTGCATTAACTCTTTGGATAGTGAGTTACACATATAATATAATTAATATATAATAATTATAATAAATCAATTTTTTTTTTTTAATTTTGGTGGTGACTTTGATTTCCACGTACAGCATTAAAAATAGTCAATGCAATTATTTGAACAAAGCCCTCGTGATCTTGGGCCCCTATTCAAGTGCAATGGAGCCCGTCAATTTAGACCATCACCTTTCATATGTTTTCAATATTTCATTAAATAAAAGACGTGGCCCCACAAACATGACACAATGATAAAGTAGAAAGATTTTCTAGGGAATATTAGAGATTCAAATCCCCACGATAGCTGAAAGACAACATTTATGTTGGAATGTAGCTGTTCTATGGAAACAAAGTTTTCGTGTACTTTGTCGCTCTTCCAAGAGTCCTGTCCGTACGTCGTAAAGGAAGGTCCATAGAGAGGAGAACCGCGTCCCAAATGTCTGACCCAAGTATGTATAAACTGTAATCGCATCCAAATTTACCCTGGTGGCGAATCAGAGGGAAGACCACCACTCCTCAGAATTAGTCGGACGAAATTCGGACACCTAAATCATAAAAAAAAAAAAAAAAGACGTGACAGTGAGATTACTACTATATTTGTCTAATGAAAACAAATACATCTAAGTTTTATAAAATAAGACGAGAATAAAATAATTGTCGACTGTAAAATCTCTATAAAATAATAATATTGTGATTGAAAAAATAATTATTTTACAGAGATTATTAATTTTTCGATAGATTAGTAAAATTATTTCTAGTCAACGTTACAAAAATGTGATGGATGTCGAACAACTCTTGAATTATCTTAGAGAAAATGATACAACGGTGGAATAGCCCACCGACGAAGAGATTATTCAAGAAATATTGAATATACATACCAATGATGATAATTATGTTTTACTAATTTTTCTGCTTTTGAAGTCTTTCAAATATCGAAATTTTAAATAATTTTTCCTTTACAAAATCAAAGAAATGCACCAAATATGGTATAGGCAACCAAAAATTATAAAAAAAGAAAAAAAAGGAGAGGAATGATGTTGAGTTTTTCAATTGTTTAAGCCAACTTCCGAAAATGCTGTTTGCTTGTTAAAGAAAATTGTTGGCTTCATGAATAAGGACATGCTTCCCTCTGTTCTTTAGGTTATGGAGATGGAAGATGAAGCATGTTTATGTTTGTTGCTCAGTATTAGACTGCAGAATAAGATAATAAACCCTAGTTTTGTTTTGTTTACTCTTTGATGTGATCTAATATCATGGCTATAAATTACAATTGAAAAGATTGGGTTGTAATCAATGTTTGTTTGGCAAACAAAATTGGATGTAGTTAAATAGCACAATAGTCCGTAGGCCTGTGCCAAAAAAATGAAAAAAAAATAAAAAATCAACAAAACCAATCAAATCGAACTAACTCGAGTCAGTTTGACATAGGCAATTAATTTGGTTTGGTTTTCTTTAAAACAAAAATATTGTAGGCCGGTTCAGTCATAATTTGAAATATCAAATCGTTGGTTAACCAAATCAACCCACTTACATATTTATCTTCTTCTTTTTTTAATTTAAGAAAAATAAAAATTAAAAGATAAACTCTAATTTCATAACTATATACCATGACTTTACAATACAAATTCTATTCTTTAGTATTTAGTAGTAGGAATGGAAGAATTAAAATATATGACCAAATAACATTCAATTATCTAGCATAATAGTATTTGATGCTACCAAAAATCATACCTGCAGATTTCCCGAGTTTGATGATTTGAGTTAAGCACGATCGTAATCTTCCGGTACCTGAAACAAAGGCAACCAGGTGTGTTCTCGTCGCCCCTCTGATACTTAAGTCAGAAAGGGAATTATATGCGTGAGACTATAAGCTGACAAACAATGAAAAACGTACCTGAATAATGGCTTAAGATTCTGTATTTATAGTAGTAAGCGACATTCTCCTAGTGGGACTCAACTAGCTGGATGTCCTTATCTGTTGGAGTCCTGAATAGTTAAGGAGTTGGTCAAATTCCATAATTATATGTGGGATAGAATCCTTGCAGGAGTCAAGAGTCCTAATTGCGTAGGAATTCTAAAGGGTCAACCATTGTAGGTTGTAAGGGGAGCATATGCCCGAGGACTGCTGATGCTCGAGGACAAATATTGCAATATGCGAAGCAGCCAAGCGGGATGTGGCCGGGCATAATGTCTCGAGGACGGCACATGCTTGAGGACACCATAGTTGGAGTTATAAGTTCATCAAAAAATAGTCGTCGGGCTAATGTATTGATCGGGATGCTGGAAATGTCACTATCATTGGCCCCCGTGCATATACGCTCGAAGACTTCGCTCGAGGATATGATGCAAAGAGACTGGAAATAAAAACTCGAATATTTAGCTCGAGGATGTTTTTGATGATAGGTGTTCAGAAGGGCTGACGTGTACTGAGGTAAGCCCTAAAATAGAAAAAGGCGGTAAAAAATGGTAGAGGGTGGATGTAGGACACGTGTCCATATCTGACGGTCGGGGTAGTGACCTTTGGACTTCCTGCTCCTGTTGCCTATAAATACCCTCTCCACATTTCATTTTTCACTTTTTACTCTCAGTAAACTTCTCTTGCTAATCGTCGGGATCGGAACTTTGAGTTTTTAGGCGTCGACTTTAAGGTAAGACCTCGAGTTTTTTAAGTTATTCTTTAGGCATTTTTTACCTAGGTTAGGATGTCTAGCAGTAGCAGCAGTGAGTCTTTGTCCTCCTCCTCGAGGAGTACTCCCGAGGACATAGAATGCTCGATCATACCTATGGATAGTCGACTTGGAAGCTGAGTGCTTTCTTCTTCAGAAGGAGCTCGAGGACTCGAAGAACGACGTCCAGAAAGCTCGGGAAGAGGCAGGAGCTGCCAAGGGCGAGGCCGAAGGTTTAAAGCTCGAGATCGAGCGTTTGAAGATTGATTTCGAAACTCACCTGGCTGAAGCTCGAGGGATTGCGATCGAGGATTTCAAAATGTCCGAGGAGTTCAACGGGCTTAAGGGAGAGTACGCCATGGGCTCGTACTTCGATGCTTTCAAGGAGGCTCAGGCATTTTTAAGGTCGAAGCCTGACGCCAAACCCGAGGATTTAAAGAGCATCCCTGAGGTTGCTGATGACCTCGTGCTTTCAGAGTCCGAGGAAACCGTCGAGGACCATGAGGTCGATATTGACGGCGAGGACCCGTTGGAGGAGCAGGGGAGCACGGCCTTGCGAGAAAGAGTCGAGGACCTAGATTAGTTTATGTTTTTTGCTCGATCAAGTATTTTGCTCGATCAAGTATTTTTCTTTTTGCACGTGTATAGCTGATGTCTTGATCATGACAAACTCAAATAGCTCGACGTTAAGATGGTTCAATAACTCGACCCCTAAGATGAATTGAAACTCGACGCCTAGAGTAGTTAAATATCTCGAGGACTCAATTTGTGAAATCATTTCCGAACATTATAGCATGTACACAAAGTTATCCTGAGGACTCAATTGTAAAATCATTTTTGAACATCAAGTGTTGAACTCGAGCATGTAAACAAGTTACCTCGAGGACTCAATTTGTAAACTCATTTATGAACATTATGTATTGAGCTCGAGCTTGCACAAAGTTCTCGATGACAAAAAAGATTAATTATCTCGATGACAAAAAAGATTAATTATCTCGATGACAAAAAAGATTAATTATCTCGATGACAAAAAAGATTAATTATCTCGATGACAAAAAAGATTAATTATCTCGATGACAAAAAAGATTAATTATCTCGATGACAAAAAAGATTAATTATCTCGATGACAAAAAAGATTAATTATCTCGATGACAAAAAAGATTAATTATCTCGATGACAAAAAAGATTAATTATCTCGACGACGAATTAATCATCTCTACGATTGAGAAGAAATAATTAGATTTTAAACAAGTTATAATGCCGAGGACTGTGGTGAATGTAGGATGTAGTTTAACACTTGACGGTAAAAAAATATCCCGACGACAGTATTGAATTACCTTGAGGACTAATCGCGAGGGGTGGTAACCTCGAGGTGTATGAAGAATTATGACCGACCTCTGTACAGAAGTATATCCCGAGCTTTCACTTTGGAACCTTAGACAAAAATTCATAGATGTATGTCCACGGGATGTTTACTTGTGTTGCACGATTTTGATGTGCTGATTTTGGGCTCCAAGGTTTTGGTGTTTGCTCGGGGCAAGGCTTTGGACTGCTTGTTCGAGGGTAAGGCTTACATTAGCTTATCGAGGACAAGGCTCAGGGCGGCTTGCTCAAGGGCAAGACTTACATTGGCTTGTTGAGGACAAGGTTTAGGTGATTCCTGGACGCAAAGCAAACTATTGGGTTGTTATATCCGAGGTTCGAATTTTTTAATTCCTCGGACTGGACTCGAATTTATATTGTATCCAAGCTGCCTACGTACCCAAACGGGATCAAGCCGAACGTAGTTCATTACAAAAGAAAACGAAAACATGCATGGACACGCAGGGCCACTAAACTAGAAATAAAATGCAAGGGCACGCAGACCCGAAAAAATAACATTCAGAAGAATTAAAAATGCAGGAAAAGAAAATCTCCTAGATGGCATCGGGAATGTTATTTGTAATATATTTTCAGATTATCGGCATTCTAGGGTCTTGGAAGAGGTCTACCTGAAGTGTCTCTTAGGCTGTCTGCTCCTTTGCAAACCTGTCGTATGACCTCAAAGGGTCCTTCCCAGATGGGCCCGAGCTTCCCTGAGGGGTGACCTACTGCTTCGGCCCTCCTCAAGACCAAGTCGCCAGCTCTGAAACTCCGAGTCTTGACTTTGCTATTAAAATGTTTTGCTGTCTTAGTTTGGTAAGAGGCCACCTTTATAGCGGCTTGCTCTCGTACTTCTTCCAAAAGATCAAGGTGTTCAGTTGTATGCCCTGAGGTTTCTGGCACGAGCCTCCTATGGCTTGGCAGTCTAATTTCCACCGGGACCATTGCTTCAATGCCATACGCTAACATAAAAGGGGTTTCTCCTATGGTTGTCCTATGAGTTGTTCTATACGTCCATAGTATAGAAGACAGCTCGTCGGACCAAGAACCCCTAGCATTCCTAATTCTCGTTTGGAGGTGTTATAATGTGATTCGATTTGTTACCTCGGCTAGACCATTGCTCTGAGGATGCGAAACTGAAGTCAGACAGTGATCAATCCCAAGGTTTGAGCAAAAGTCCCTAAACTGTTGATTGTCAAATTGCCTGTCATTATTGGTGATGAGGACCTTCGGTATCCCAAACCTGCAAATGATAGACCTCCAAGTGAAGGCTCTTAGCTTGGGCTCCGATATCGTGGTGAGAGGTTCGGCTTCTGCCCATTTTGTGAAATACTCAACTGCTACAGCAACAAACTTTAATTGACCTCTTGCCACAGGAAAGGGGCCGAGGATGTCAACTCCCCATTGTTCAAACGGGGCCGAACAATTAATGTTGGTGAGGTCTTCGGCTGGTGAGTGTATAACATTACCAAACCTCTGGCACCTATCACATCTCTTAACATATTCTGAGGCGTCTTTCTTCATAGTTGGCCAATAGTACCCATATCGTATGAGTTTATAGGACAGGGCCCTCGCTCCTTGATGATTCCCGCACACACCTTCACGAACTTCAGCAAGGGCCTGGGATGATTCTGATGGTCTAAGGCACCTTAGGTATGGAAGAGTAATACTTCTGCGAAAGAGGACACCGCTGATCATGCAGTACCTAGGAGCTCGAGCTCTGATGCTTCTAGCCAACCTGGCATCGCTTGGTAGATTTCCACTTGTGATGAATTCTATGATTGGTTCCATCGAAGACGGTTCATTGTCAATGTCCATGACGTCGGGGATTTGATTGATGCTGGGTTTTGTGATGACTTTGATGTGAACTGTTCTGTCCAGGCAATCTATCCCCATGAACACAAGCCTGGATAGTGCGTCGGCTTTTCCGTTGTCCTTTCGAGCAACTTTTGCAATTTCACAACTCTTGAATTTTCGTTGAAGATCCCGAACCTTCATGCAGTACAAACTCATTTTCTCGTCTTTCCTTTCAAATGATCCTTCAATCTGTCCAACCACCAGTTGTGAATCGCTGAATACCTTCACGAACTCGAGCTCAAGGCTAAGGTCTAGCTCCAGGGCAATAACGACGGCCTCATACTCGGCCTCGTTATTGGTTTCTTCAAACTCGAACCTAAGAGTGCATTGAATCTCCGTATGTTTGTCAGGGTTGATGATGATAACCCCTACACCCGAGCCCGAGGAGTTCGATGCTCCATCTACAAAAATTTGGCCAAGTGTCCAAATTGGTGCTCATGCTCGAGTCGTCACCTAGCCCCCGAGGCCTAGGGGTTAGTTCTGCAATGAAGTCGGCTAGTGCTTGGGCTTTGATAGATGGGCATGATTTGAATTCGATGTCAAATTCTCCAAGCTTGATCGCCCATTTCATCAGTCTTCCTGAGACGTCCGACTTCTGAAGTATATGCCTAAGTGGTTGATTAGTGAGCACCACAATAGGGTGAGACTGGAAATACTGCCGGAATTTTCTTGCTACTATAACCAAGGCAAGGGCAAGTTGTTCCGCCAAAGTATACCTTGTTTCCGCATCTAATAGGACCTTGCTTACATAGTAGATAGGTTGTTGGACTCTGTTAACCTCTTTCACCAAGACCCTGCTGACCGCTTTTTGAGATACGACCAAGTACAAAAATAAGGTGTCACCAGGCTCAGGCCTAGTGAGAATAGGAAGAGATGCCAATGTTTGCTTGAGCTCCTGAAAAGCTTTCTCACAGTCTTCACTCCAACCAAAGCCTTGGGTTCCTCTAAGGACTTTGAAGAAGGGATAGCACCTGTCTGATACTCGGGACGTGAACCTGTTTAAGGCTGCTATCATACCAGTCAACCTTTGTACCTCTTTCTTGTTCCTTGGTGATTCCATAGATGCCAAGGCTTGTATTTTGTCAGGGTTAGCTTCTATCCCTCGGTGAGTGATCATAAAGCCCAAGAACTTGCCCGAGGCTACGCCAAATGCACATTTTGCGGGGTTCAACTTCATTCTGTACTTTCGCAAGGTGTCAAAAACCTCTTCAAGATCGGAAATATGCTGGTCCATCTGTTTGCTCTTGACCACCATATCATCAGTGTACACCTCCACATTCCTTTCAATCAAGTTAGCAAAGACTTTGTTGATGAGCCTTTGGTATGTTGCCCCTGCATTCTTCAAACCGAAAGGCATGACCTTATAATAGTATATGACGGAATCGGCCATGAATGACTTCTTTTCTTGATCTTCCTCGGCCACGAGGATTTGATAGGCAAACTGTCTTTTCTTCTGCTTTACTGGTCTGGCCCCTGGGCTAATGTTAAGCTTGTGGACTGCAATTTTGGGGTCTATCCCTGACATATCCTCAACCTTCCAGGCTAAAATGTTAATGTTGCGAGATAAGCAACCAATAAGTTTTGTCTTTAGGGTAGCGTCAAGATCCCGACCAATCGTTACCTTCTTATTATGCTCGAGCTCGATTTCCATCAATTCTTCGACAGGAGCAAGTTTGACTTGTTGCCCGTCCTCGGGATCCATCCTCGAGATTTGCATGACGTCGTTATTTATTTCACGAATGCTGGCAACATAGCATTGTCTAGCAGCTGTCTGGTCTCCATGCACGACCACAACGCCATTACTTATTGAAAACTTCATGGCTAGGTAGAAGGTAGACACAATGACTTTGATCTTGTTCAGGAGTGGTCTTCCCAGAATAACGTTATAGGCCATTGAGACACATACCACTTGAAAGGTTGTCATCTCCGTAACCTATTTCTAGCCAGAACCCAATGTTAGAGGAAGCTCGACGACACCTTCTGGAGTGATGACTCCTCCCCTAAACCCTTGGAAAGGAGTTTTAACCGCTTTGAGCTGTTGAGATGAGATTCCCATTTTGGCAAAAGCCTCTTGTGAAAGTATATTGGCCGCACTCCCGTTGTCAACCAAGATTCTCTTTATTTCAAAATTGGCCACAATCGCTGAGATGACCAAGGCGTCATCATGTGGAAGTGATACACCTTCCAAGTCCCTGGTTCCAAAAGTAATATCCTCCAGCTTTCCATGAGGCATCCCAGAGGCCAAGGCATATTGTTGGGCATATTGTTTTCTTCCACTGTTCGAGTCTCCTCCCGAGGCAATACCCCCAATGATGATATTGATGGTTCCAGCAGTGGGTTGACCATCCCTTTTTGCTTCAGGGGCTTTTTCCCTACCATGATCGTTCCTCAGGCGTTTGTCGTTACTAAGAGTCCTCTTTTAATAAGGGCTTCAATCTCCCGTTGCAGGGCCTTACAGTTCTCCGTGGTATGCCCATGATCTCGATGGAACTCACAGTACGTGTTCATGTCCCTGGATTCGGGTGGTGACCTCATTCTGACAGGCCATTTGAGTTCCTTCATATCCTTGATCTCCATCAATATATTTGTTTTTGACGTATTTAAACGCGTGAATGACGTCGAGGGAACCTCCTGTCTCTGTTTTCTCCGAGGTGGTTCTTCACGGGGGTTCAGGTCGTGCTGTCGTTTATGCTCGACCGTATCATGGGATGGTCCAACCTTTCTCGGGTTCAGTGTTTCCTCCATATTTATGTACTGCTCGGCTCGAGTAAGAAGCTCGATCACTATTTTTGACGGAGTTTTGGATAAAGACATCTTGAAAGCCTTACACTTTATGGCATATGTGAGGGCAGAAACTGCTGTAGTTATATGTAGGTCGGGAATCTGAAGTCTTTCCTTGTTGAACCTGGTCATGAAGTCATGTAGGGTCTCATTTTGCCCTTGTCTAAGTTGCATGAGGGAAGCCACTGTCTTCCTGATGCATTTACTGCTTGCGAAGAAAGCAGAGAACTTGTCCGCCAAATCCGAAAATGAGGTTATGGAGTTGGGCTCTAAAATTGAGAACCAACCCCTAGCAGCATTCGTCAAAGTTTGTGGGAAGGCCTTGCACATCACCTGATTCGGTGCGACCTGTAGATTCATGACGTCCGTGTATACGTTAAGATGATTGATTGGATCGGTGGTCCCATCATATTCTTTGATCCTAGGATACTTAAATCTGTCTGGCAAGGGGAATGTCAATATCTCGGGAGTAAAGGGAGTGCTGGGACTAAATCTTGCTGACCCTTTGTTACCCTGAAGTAGGCCCGCCGTAATTCCTTCTTGAATAATCCTAGCGAGTTCCTCGGACTCTATGGTCACTGATCTCAAGGCTGAGGTCACATGTGGTATGCCCGAGGCCCCTACTCCGTCATTGTTAGGGACATGTCTCTGAGCTCGAGCTTGAGCATCAGCCATAAAACCCCCCTGGGGTGCCTGTGTGGGTGACGGATGTGAATTTTTTTGACTTAGCAGTTGAGTCAGTGTGGCGACCTGTTGTCTGAGCTCTTCAAAGGCTCCGGTAGTGACGACTGCCGGCTGGAGCTCTGGCACTTTTGATGATTCCTCTTGAGGAACAGGGATATCCTCAGGAGGAGGTTGGTTTGGAGCGGATGAGCTTGCTGGTGGAAGACATGAACGTGTGTTTACCATGGCTTTTGGTAGCGCTTTCCACAGACGGCGCCAATGATGCTATCAAAAATCGTACTTGCAGATTTCCCGAGCTTGATGATTTGAGTTGAGCATGATCGTAGTCTTTCGGTACCTAAAACAAAGGCAACGAGGTGTGTTCTCGTCGCCCCTCCGATGCGTAAGTCAGAAAGGGAATTATATGCGTGAGGCTATAAGCTGGCAAACAATGAAAAACGTACCTGAATAATGGCTTAATGTTCTGTATTTATAGTAGTAAGCGACATTCTCCTAGTGGGACTCAACTAGCTGGATGTCCTTATCTGTTGGAGTCTTGAATAGTTGAGGAGTTGGTCAAATTCCATAATTATATGTGGGATAGAATCCTTGCAGGAGTCAAGAGTCCTAATTGCGGTAGGAATTCTAAAAGGTCAACCATCGTAGGTTGCGAGGGGAGCATATGCCCGAGGACTGCTGATGCTCGAGGACAAATATTGCAATATGTGAAGCAGCCAGGCGAGATGTGGTCGGGCATAATGTCTCGAGGACGGCACATGCTCGAGGACACCATAGTTGGAGTTATAAGTTCATCAAAAAATAGTCGTCGGGATAATGTATTGATTGGGATGCTGGAAATGTCACTATCAGTATTTAATATCTAGCTGAACATAAACACCAAATTACATATCCAAATAACAAATTAAAAACTAGAAATCAACAAATAGGAAGCAGTAGATTTTATATATGCTAAAAACAACGTAAATTCATTTCTTTGTGAGGATTGTAAAAATCAATATTCTCGACTTTTCTTTTCATCCCATCGTTTTATTTGCATCCTATCGAACCATTGGATGAGTGAATAAATTATTTAAAAAAATGATAAATTTGGTGCTGGATCCAATTAAAATGCTACACCTACCTTTCAGAGATAGGACCAACGACCTTTTTATATTGCTTTCCACAAATGTCCTTGTGTCTCACAATTTTTTTTGCCCCTCATTGGTCCTATCTTATCGATTATGCCATTAGTGAAAATTGTGTTGTTTTCAAATTCCTGGAGATTTGGACTTTGGACAAATATTTTTCTACAATTTTAATTTTCCAAGGTTTTCTTTGTGGTTATTATTATTATTTTTTCTTTTGGTTGGATTATGATATAGGAGACAACATAGGAATAGCAATGGGCGGGTTCGGGACGCCCTTGCCCACCCCGCTTTAGACGGGCCGAGAATGGGGCAATTTTTTGCCCCGTTTAATTTTTTTTTACATTTTTAAAGTTTTGAATTATGTTATTATTAGAGAATAAAATACAAATTTAAAACGAATTTTTAAAGGGTGAATTGTTTAAAAATAAAATTATTTTTAATCTTTTTTTTAATTTTTTTCTTCACGAGGCAGGTTTCGAGTGGGGCAAGAGTCCCACGCCTCGTGACGGGGCACCCCACCTTGCACGCTATTCACCTTTTCCCAAAATTTTAACATATATTATTGAATGTCAGCTAATTCAACTTATCAAATAGACAAGAAAAATTAGTTATAGTATAAAAAATTTGATTTATTGTAATTATTATATATTAATTATATTATATGTGTAACTCATGATCCAAAGAGTTAATGCAACTTGGTAACCACACATATAATATAATGAAGGTGGTTACCAAGTTGCATTAACTCTTTGCATAATGAGTTACACATATAATATAATTAATATATAATAATTACAATAAATCAAATTTTTTATTTTGGTGGTGACTTTCATTTCCACGTACAACATTATAGTTAATGCAATTATTTGAACAAAGCCCTCATAATCTTGGGCCCCCATTCAAGTGCAATGGTGCCCGTCAATTTAGACCATCACCTTTCATATGTTTTCAGTATTTCATTTTATACCCAATAGCAATAATTGACAAGGCTATGCTTAAGACAGTGCCTCCTTCAGTATCGAACAATATTAAAATTAGAAAAAGAAGTTAAGTCTGGTCGTATGTCAAATTGTGAAGTATTTTTTGGATCAAATAAGCTCTTCATGTATATTAAAATTGCGCCCAACTTGTTTTGCTTGGCCTTGTATAACGACAACTTTAACGTGATAAATTCAGGTTTATTCCATTGTGATATTAATGAAATCCTTTATAAATCTAAATATTCTCAATAACTCATGAATTTATAAGAATTCCATTAGTAGAGATATTTTAAAAGATTTGAATGAATTCCAAGCTTAAAAAAATATATAGCAAACTTTTTTGAAATTTCACAAATTTTAATAAGATTCTTATGAATTCTGTGAAAATCTATTCAAATTCACGAGATTCATTAGAATTTATAATTTTAAAAAATTCGTTAAAGTCTTAATTGAGAACATCCCTCATACTGCTCGTGTAAAATCTACCTACAATGTACAAGTACTTTGAACACTCATTTATTTCTCACGCGCCTAAAAGTATAAATCGAGGTCTCTGCAATGAAAATTCACGTGGGAGTATATTTTATGTTTTAGGGGTTTTCGTTGGGCCCAATTTTGCATATTTTCCACACCTAATTGATACTAAAAATTGAATTACAAAGTATGATTTTGACTCATTGGCTGTTATTGTGGAGATTAGTTTTCAAAAAATTGATTACATTGACAGGACAGGAGGTGAAATTCTTTACGTAAAATAGTGAATATTATCTTGTGACGGAATATAAGGGAACGCAATAGTTGTTGCACCGATTTTAAGACTTGAAAAGGTCGATTTAGTCTAGTTCTAAACTGAAATTTGAATGTTTTCTTTCGAGAAAAACTCTCACCCTTAATCACAAAAGCGTTTATAATTATTTTTCCTCTCCCCATGGGCTTGTCCGGATAATTCAACATGTTTGAATCTACATAGTATCTGGCACACCTATTTAATGAGCTTAAAATGAGACAATCTCAGTACAACCAACCTCAATAAAAGTAACCTAAAACCGAATAATCGGAAATGCATCATGTAAGGGTGTCAAACAGGCCGAGCGGTTCGTTAAAACTCGGCTTGTGGGCGGCTCGGACTCATCAAATGACGAGACCGAGCCGAGCTTGCTAGGCTCGTCGAGCCACGGCCCACGAGCTCTCGTCAAAAAATATGTAAATTTAAAAAAAAAAAAAGGCCAAAAATGTGCAAAAATAAAAAAAATCACAAGCTCGCAAGCAGCTCATGGGCTCGGCTCGGCTCGACACGCTTGTGAGCTCACGAACTCGCCCCGGAGCAACGAGCTCAAGCTCAGCTTGTCTTTCATGAGCCACGAGCCCGAACCCAAACCCAAACCCGAGCCCGAGCCGATTGCCATCCCTAAATGCATGCATAAAAAAAGCTGTACCATCCTTCTTTAAGGGCATGTTTGAGCCACATTATTTCAAAAAAATATATTCTTAAACAGTGATTTGATATCATTTCAACCACACATTCTTTAATAAAATAATATTACACGCAGATCAAAAAAAAATTTCTTATTTTTTAACCTCATATTTCCTATCAATGCACTATTCAAGAATGCATTATTACCAAAATGATGTGGCTCAAACACTCCCTAAATGTATAAAGCTACTCTGACAAGAAATGAAAACATGGTTTAAATCCAGGTGGCAGTACCTGACCAGGTTTTTTTTTTTTAAATTGGCCAATCAAATATTAACACGGGGCACCTGAATTTAATACCCGTTCCCATTCCCTGTTTTTGTTAGCAAAGCCCGAATCTTCTGCCTCATGGTCATAGTCATAGTCATAGTCATCCCACCGTTCACAATCATAGAAAGTAAAAAATTACGTTCGGTTTTGGGAAAAATATGAGGTGTGCGTCTAGGAGCCTTCGAACCCATCTAGACAGGATACAACTATGACCTTTTGTCCTCTTGCGAATTCAAGCAATGATTATCATTTTTCTTGCTCCAAAATTTAATCATACGTTCAGCTAATAAAATAATTTTATAAATAAATTCATATTTTTTCTATTTTTTAAATCATGCATTCTTTAAATTAGTGAAACTTGTCCGACAAATGTTTAAAACGAAATTATTGCTTCTATACAAGTTATCTGCGTAGATATTTTTCTCCTACAATTTCACCATGGCTGCAAATTCAACTGAAATACTTCATGATTTTCCCCCAATTATCCGAATATACAAGGATGGAAGAGTGGAAAGACTTTCAGGCGAAGATATTGTTCCTGCATCAGTAGATTCAGAAACTGGGGTTCAATCCAAAGACATCCAGATTTCACCGGAATTGGATATATCTGCTCGGCTCTACTTGCCAGGAACCGCTAATCCTGGCCGGAAACTTCCACTTCTTGTTTACTTTCACGGTGGCGGCTTCGTGGTGGATTCGCCCTTCTCTCCTTTGCACCATAACCACATGAATTCACTCGTCGCTGAAGCCAATGTTGTGGCGGTTTCCGTTGGTTACAGATTAGCACCGGAGCACCCTCTTCCAATTGCATATGAAGATTCTTGGCTTGCACTTAAATGGGTGGCCTCTCAATCTACGGGTGAGTTTTCTGGGTTGAGATTTCTCCCTAGTTGTTTTTAATTGTCTTCAAATCTCCCGATTGCGAAGCGAACCTTGGCTTGAACTGAAATGGGTGGCATCTCAATTGACAGGTGATAAGCATGAGCCATGGATTCAAGAATATGCTGATTTTGATCATGTTTATTTAGGAGGAGACAGTGCTGGTGCCAATATAGCACACAACATGGCCATAAGATTTGGTCTTAAAAAGTTGGATGGGATCAATCTTGATGGGATTTTTCTCACCTGTCCATTCTTTTGGGGAAAAGATCCAATTGGGAATGAAGATTCAGGCTTAGTAGTTCCCAAGAGTTTTGTGGATAATTTATGGATTTTTTCTTGTCCAAACACAACAGGATTAGATGATCCGTTGATCAATCCTTCCATGGATTTGAATCTTTCAAAATTGGGGTGCACAAAAGTGCTTATTTATGTTGCAGAGAAAGATCTTCTGAAAGAACGAGGTTATTATTACAAGGAAGCATTGATGAACCGTGGGTGGGACGGAGATGTTGATATTGTCGAGGTTAAAGGGGAAGACCATGTTTTTAGTGTGTTTTCCCCTAATAGTGAGAACGCGAAGGCTATGTTCAAACGAGTCGCTCTTTTCATGAATAATAAGTAGTCCTTTCGATGTATGTTTCATAAATAGATTCGACATCGCGTGTGTATCTAATATGCTCTTATGCTTCATTTATGGGTTGGGAGCTTGTAATAATTTGGCGTTGAAAAGAAAATTATAAAAATGATTGTTGGAATAATGTTCGAATTTCTATGGTATTTCTTCCATTTATATTCACAACAGGTTCTAATCGGTTGACTGGAACGTGAAGAGCCAAAATTAAGTTCCGAACTTTGATCCTAAGAGATTCTAAAACGAAATGATATTGACATTTTATTTTTGTTCGGGTTTATGGGGTATTATTATAAATGACCTGCTACTATTCATTTTTGATAAAATGTCTATTATACCCTTAATGAAATAATTTATCATATATTGCACAAGATATCCTTAATTTATTGGGATAGTCTTAAATTCCTCTATTCCTCTCATTTCGAGTTTTAATATATAATTTCATCCTTTGATCTAATAAATTAGCATAATCTGTAATATAATTATCATGTAATTTACTAAGATTATCAAATTCCTTCGATAATATATTCATAATCTCTAATTGAGAATAAATATTTTCTATTTTTTCCATTAATCTATCTAACAGATTATCTAATCCTTTAATTGTATAGCCTGGCATTATTCAAATAATTTCTTGCAAACTTTATGAATAATAACATATTTAGACAAGTTTTTTGCAAACATAAACAATAATAATCCCTACGATTCTTTCAAGATATTAGAAGAATTCTTTCTAAATTTAGCAAAGACAATAATTTTACCTTACTTTTGGTCTTAAATCTGTATTCTTAGAACCGAGTGACCTTCAGGCTCTGAATCTGCAAACTGCTCCCTTAAACGGCCTCTTGCCTCAATNTTTTCAAATTTAATTTCTTTTTTATTTTTAACAACCTTTTTTATATTATATGGTCCTCTCTTATATTTGGGCTTTTCCATTTTGTAGTTATTCATTAATAATTTTTTTTTTTTCCTAATTATTGGTTAGATTTTTTAAGGACTAAAAAAGAAACTTTTTATTATATAAAGGGTTGGTTGTTAAATTTTTCCAAGGATATTTTGGGTAGTTTCAAATTTCTAAAAAAGTCAAAGGCCATTTTGGAAAAGGTTATTTACTATTTGGGCCATTTTCATGTATATCCCGAGTTTATGTTACAGATTGAGAACGTAACCGGCTAGAATGCTGATCCGTGGAAAGTCCCAAAGCCAAAAGATTAATGCTTTTGATAAAAATGTTTCAGTAGTTCAAAAAGTAGAGTAAATTTAACCAATAATTACTGAACTTTACACTTGATTACTAGTTGCTCACTCATCTTTCACATATTACTGAATGCTCATTCATTTTTTCATATAATTACTCATTCATCACTCGTCTCTTCAAATAATTGGACGACTTTTACGGCAAATTTTTGACAACTTCCGACCACAAAGAATGTCGAATTTTGATACCGTTGGAAAGTCCACGATGTCCTCTTCAATTATCACCTAAAATCTCATTATAACTCCAAGGGATTCAATCGAAAAATTGCCTTAAAAGTTGCCCAAAAATTTTGAAAATCTGCCCAGATTTTCAAAATTTTTGGGCCACTTTTAAGACAATTTTTCGGCAACTTTCGACCATCAAAATTCTCAAAACTATTGAATTTTGATACCATTGAAAAGCCCACAATGTCCTCTTCAATTACCATCCAAAAATTTTCCATAACTCCAAAGGATTCGATCGGAATAAACCCACAAAATCAGCATCTTGAAAAGGCGAAAATCTGGACAAAGTTCAGGATGCTGATTTTGTGGATTTAGCGAAAATCTGGACAAAGTTCAGGATGCTGATTTTGTGGATTTATTCTGATCGAATCCGTTGGAGTTATGGGGAAATTTTGGATGGTAATTGAAGAGGACATTGTGGGCTTTCCAATGGTATCAAAATTCAATAGTTTTGATGGTCGAAAGTTGCCGAAAAATTGCCTTAAAAGTCGTCCAAAAATTTTGAAAATCTTCTGGGCAGATTTTCAGAATTTTTGGGCAACTTTTAAGGCAATTTTTTGATCGAATCCCTTGGAGTTATAATGAGATTTTGGATGGTAATTGAAGAGGACATCGTGAGCTTTCCAACGGTATCAAAATTTGACATTCTTTGTGGTCGGAAGTTGTCGAAAATTTGCTGTAAAAGTCGCCCAATTATTTGAAAAGACGAGTGATGAATGAGTAATTATATGAAAAGATGAGTGAGCATTCAGTAATATGTGAAAGATGAGTGAGCAAGTAGTAATCAAGTGTAAAGTTCAGTGATCATTGGTTAAATTTACTCTCAAAAAGTAACATGTGCATTTTTATCAATAGTCAAATGGATGAAACCATAGTCCATATAAGTAATGAGAACCAATTTCGTTGTTTGCAGGCTATTGCGTCAGTTTAAGGGTTTATTCGGTGTGCACCCGAAGGGTAGCGACTGTGGGTTTCTCCGTCAAAAAAAAAAAATAAATAAATAAAATGAGAACCAATTTGCTGCACACCTTGTAGGTTGCGGATTGTTCTTGTCAATCAAATAAGTTGTAGACCACTTTGCAACATTTTGCATAGAGTAAGGATCTCTATTAAGATTATTTTGTTGAAGAGGACGCTCAGTTGTATGCAAAGGAAATATTAAGCATACTTGAAATGAGGGTGAGCTCAATGGATTGGGTTTGGAGTGGATTTTTGGACTTAATTCAGTGTGATACAAGGTGGATTTTATTAGTGCTATAAACTGTGACTTTTGAGTAAAGTGCTGTCAATATCCTATATGAATTAGTATGAGAGCATTCTTGAGGAGTGGATGGGTGTTCTCGCTGAATTGAGCTTGGGGTAGACTCCCTTACTTGATTTTGAGTGATATATACTGGATTACGTAAGTATCATTAGCGGTAGTTTTTGAACAAAGTGGTAATGATTCCTATATAAGATGATAAAATAATGTCCGTGATATTAGTGGGTTGTCTACAAATTCCATATAACCCATAATGCCTCAAATTATTTTATTTGATTCCTAGCATGAGCAAGTTGGGCACCAACATATCTTATTATAGCGAGTTAATTCCAAATGGTGTTTTAAGGAATTAATTGGTTTCCTAAGATTGTGAATTCTATCTTGTAACAAAATTGAGTTTAAGAGGATGAAATTTTGTTACACGTTAGAGTTCTTGCCTGAAAAAGAAATTTGACATTTGTTTGTGAAGACTTCATCAAATAAATCAAAAGTTTGAAATCATCTATATTAAAAATTAGGACCAATCCTAAGATTTTGGGTGCGCATTACAAAATCTATCCAAATTTTAGGACTTATCTCGAGGTCGTGAATGATAAGTTGCGTGAATTTTTTTTTTAATTTTTTTTTGTATTTTGTTTTCGACTTTTTAAGTGGAGAAAGTCGTTTAACAAAAAGGATCATTTTCATCAAAAATGAAAAGTTTACTATCATTTGCACTATATTTGAAAGATTTGGATAAAAAATGTAGGTTGGAAAAGGCTTGGGACCATTTTGTGCCAATATTCCTTTTCTCAAAGGCAGTGGTGCCTCTGTAATAATCAAAAACCTAAGGTAGGTGTGTGTAATTTGATGGAATGAATATCCTAAAATGCGCATTATCTGAGCTGGCATATCCGCAATCCCCTTAGGCGATCCCTCGCCACCACCAAGAGCTTGACCACCATCTCTCTACTCCTCATCCCCTTAACGGTCCACATACCGAACCCTCTTTTTTCCATTTTTTCCTAAATTTCGAATTTCAATTTCTAGTTATCAAATTGGCTCTCGATTTCGAGGTCTAGCTACGATGAGCGGCGGAGTTGCTGGAGGGAGAATTTATTGGGTCAGAAGTCAGGACATTCATTGTACTGAAGCGTTGAAAATCAAAGGAATAATTGTGATTTTCGCGTGGGTATCCTCAATTACCGAAAGTCAATTAAAGGATTATGTGAATTTCTACACTTCTCTTGGATGGAACTCTCTAGTTTGCCTATCCGATTTTCTCAATCCGTATGCTCTTCCCGTTCTCAATATACTTCTGTGGTGCATGTATATGTGTGTGTATGTAATTAATTGAGCTGGTGATAGAGGGATTATTGATTGTCGGAATTAGCTTTCATGCTAGATTGCAAATAGCTTATCTAACTAGTTGATAGCATTAAACCTTTCCAAGGAACTTAAGCCTTTGTCCAAACCCCTTTTTTTTTACTCGCATATGTCTCTTTTCTTTTACTTCATTTTTTCCCGTAAGGGAGTGCATTCTATGTCTAGAAGGAAAGGGACATTCTTTTTTCCATTCTCCGATGCTACAGATGGTACCCAAAGGTAAGTAATACAAAATATTAACTGAAATTCGGAGATAGGACTGACTACTGAGCCAGGTATTTGACTTCAGATTAGTTGCTTAGCAAATGCCCTGAATGGACTCTCCTTCCTTCTACCTTTGTCGCATAGTAAGTGCATGTTGATGTAGTATATCTTTAGAAGTAGAGTTTTCATACTGGAGAAGCCTAGCAATGCTAACAAAGAAGTTCATGTAGCTTGTTTTGCATAACTTAAATGCTAGAAAAAAAGTCCAAATTGAGAGAAGCTAAAAAATAAATTCTTTAGAACTCAAAAATAACTTTTTGTTTTAAGACCAGGGATTTCTCCTTCCTTATTTTCTAAAGATTTTCTCATTCCTTATTTCAAGAATTCTCTCATTTCTTTTATTTGAATTCCTTCCCGACCCATTTCTTTGAACAAGTATTTCATAGTTAGTGTATTTTATCTGCAGATTCATCCCAGAGAGGGCTACGTCACTGGCATTTTCTGTACTTAATGAGCTTGTTGAGGTCAGTCTTATTACCATGTCTTTATATGCAAAAAAATGGCAATGATGAACAGCGGAGTTAGTAAACTACTTTTAGTTTTTTTTTCTTGTTTCTTTCATGTCATATCCAATATCGTGATGTTTAAAAGAACGTGTGAATCAAGCCATGCAAAGTACTAAAAGTCTTTTTTTCTTTTCTTCATTTCCTCCTCCTTCTCCTGTTCTTTTTGCTCTCGGTTTAATTATTCTCTAACTGTTCTTTTTGCCCTCGGTGCAATTATTCTCTAAGGTTGTTTGTATATGCAGGAGCTACGGAGTAGCATGTGTCCTATAGTCCTTGCAGCATCCTCTGGTGGTTCAAAAGCTTGTATGTATAAATTTTTTCAGGTAAAGTCGACGGACTGGAGCCATGGTCATTTTGATGCTCATGAACATACATTGCGCTCTGTGTTGGCTTTGCAACCCTTAAATGTTCCTGATGAGGACTGTGTCACTAACTATTTGTTGAAGAATTTATTCACTTAATTGGATAAGATTAATCATTGTTTGTCATGACTGTGGCCATGTATATAATTTATTTTACAATTGATGCAGATTATTGAAGGATGTGAAGCGGAGCTCAATCTGGTAGACTTTGTTCTTCGACTTCAATCAATGTTACTCCCCCCATCCATAAAGATAGGCTTGTTTTCTTTTTCACATTGATTAAGAAAACGTAATTAATATACTTGAAAATATAAATTATTCTTACGTTTTTCCTAGTTTACCCTTATATTAAATAATGGTTTAAATATGAGTAGTTTATAATTGTTGATAACAAGGCACGTTAAATAGGGGCATATTAGAAAATTAAAAAATCAACTATACTTTTGATGAGATAAGTGGCCTATAATTTGGATCAGTCGAAAAAAGGAAACCAAGCTTAGCTTTATGTGATGGAGGGAATAATGAGTTATAGGTGGTGAAGCACAAATATTTATTTATTGACTTATTTCTTCATACATGAAGGAGGATAGTAGATTGGTTATGCACTGCATCTCAGGCCAGATATATGACTCTGATCCTGTTGACCTTAGTAGTGATTTGGGTGCCCGATTGGCTTCAAACCACACTGTCCTGAAGATGCCTGGTTTTTCAAAGCTTGTATCATTGTTTGCAAAAGGTGTCACTTCGAGCTTGGATGCTTTATTTCTCACAAGTTTTGGATCTGAACATGCAGAGTACTGGCAAACTCTTTGTTCCTCAGTTGTAAGTTTCTAATTGGATCATGACATTTGCAGATTATATTTACTATTTCTTTAGTTATTTTGGCCTTTTTATTCTATTTCTATTTATCTGCAGGATTTGGGGGCCCCTTTTCTGATTTTATGTTCAGAAAATGATGATGTGGCTACATATCCAGTTGTATGCAAATTTGCAAGGCAATTACGAGATATGGGGGGCAATGTCAATGTGGTGAAGTGGAATACAGGTTAATTGCTAGCTTATAAGTATAACTATATCTATATGTTGGATACATTGAACTTGAGATAACAGTGCTTTCAAAGTCTTGTAAACTTTTCTGTAATCAATGCCATGTTTAATGCTTCATTCGTCATCACCCCTGTCACCCAGCGTCGGAAGCTATTGGTGTGCTGAATGTCATTATTTCTGTGTAGGATTTTCCCTCTGGGGTGAGTGATCCTGTTTTGGTTCCTTTTTGTCGTTTGACAGGTTCAACTAGTTCAATTCAACCAGAAATAATACTTGTAATATTAACTAAAAGTGACCAAACAAAGCTTCTTTCACTGCTGAATTTTTCATGGCTAACCATATACACGAAGACCTCTAGTACTGCTTTATTAAATATATTTTCTTATCTTCTACTATTTCTTTCTTTTCTTCTGTTGTTCCACTCGTTATTAATCTGGTCTTTATTTTTTTGGTTCTTTTGTGAAACTTGTACCTTGGAGTTGGGCAGCTCCCATTAGGACTGGCCAATTTGGTCTTCTTTGGCTTGAAAATACTGGTTCCAACAAATTCAATTTTCAGATTTTTTTAATTTTTTTAATTTTTAATTTATTTTTTTTTTCCGCATTGCTCTCTTTGGAAGTCTTATCTAATGGTGTGTCCTATGACATTCACTGGTGCCCTATAATTCCAAGTCAGATATGAGGTGGGCCACATGAAGCATCCTCAAATGTGCTTTTTATTGAAAATGTAGGAGGTGATTTGGACGGTGACATTTGGATTTGTGAATGGCTCATAGCTGCCTTTTCTTGTTATCCATTAATGCTCGTCTATGTGGATTCTCACTTCCTGCAATTTTCTTATTGCTAATCTATATAGAATCTCACTTTCTACAAGTTTCCAGTTCAGGTTCATGTGGCACACCATTTGCACTAATATGGTTTGCACTGCAACAGGTCATTACAAGCATCAGTCGATCCATTACACGACTGCTATTGCTGAGTTGCTTGAGCAGGCAGTTTCTAGTTTTTCCCACAAAATTCGGAGACTCAGAGAAAGAACTCCCATGGATGACATGCATGATGAAGTATCCGACTTAATTTGTGACCTCCAGAATGCAGCAGTCGACTCAAATCAAAGCCTTAGAAGAGTTGCAGTCGGGCCGAATGACCACTTCTTCCTGCCAAGTTCAGCTGGCTATGGAAACAGCAGAGACTCTTGGTCTGTACCTGAGGAGCGGAAAGAAAGATCGCCAAATCGGTCAAACCCTTGTATGAGTGCACATAGTGTCCTTGGCAAAGTATTATTTGATGTGTGTGTCCCGAAGAACGTGGAAGGTTGGGATATTAAATTTGCCGGTTCTGTTCGCAAACGGTTACAATTTAATGCCATTAAACATAGATCAAGATTATGAGATCTTTCTGGCTAGCAATTTTCCCACTTTACAGAAAACCACCACATGAAATTTTGTTGGATGTATGACAGCTGCAGTCCTGGGATAGGATGGAAGATAATGGACGGAACCGGCTTTACAAAGAGGGTTATGCTGTACATTTCAGCGGCTGAAACCTGAAATTATATGAAAATCTATGGCATTGCCTTGGAACGCATGAAGTATCTGCTGATATGAAGTACGAAGATTGAGGAAGATGATGCTATGTAGTTCAATTTATGACCACATTCTAAGAGTTAATCTAATTTCTTGTAGTACTGGATTATAATTAATTATTAGACGTGTATATAATTAGTTTAAAAGTAGTAAATATGCTCAATTTGAGTACTTTTCAAGTTGTAAGTATAATAGTGGAAGGATATCGAGGTTTTTCTACCGTTCATCCATTAACACAGGTTTTCTGTTTTTGCTGATGTTGTTTTTCTTCCATATTTTTGAAGCAACCAGATTAGTCTCAATTGCTGAATATATGGGTTTGAAACCCATTTCTTAGATTTAGTTGTGATTAAGTTATGTTCTTTGCGAAGAAAAATGACGAGGTAACAACCAATAAATGCTTTGTGGTGGCACATTCTTACAGCTTCTCTGTAAGTCAGCTACGCCTTTGTATGTTTTTGCTGATGTTGTTTTTCTTCCATATTTTTGAAGCAACCAGATTAGTCTCAATTGCTGAATATATGGGTTTGAAACCCATTTCTTAGATTTAGTTGTGATTAAGTTATGTTCTTTGGGAAGAAAAATGACGAGGTAACAACCAATAAATGCTTTGTGGTGGCACATTCTTACAGCTTCTCTGTAAGTCAGCTACGCCTTTGTTGGACCTCTCGTACATGTGATATGCCAAGATGTTGGGCAGAAATGAAGGTGGAGGTGGGTGCCTGGGTTGAGACGGGGTTGGAAGCAGAATAGACACAAATGTTATGAACAAGTAGCACCGACGTCCTGAAACATAATCTATACATTTGAACTTACAAGAAATACCTGATTGGCAGATCGATTATGATGATTAAGAAAGAGGTTTATAGTATCGAAGTTCACACCAATAGAGGTCATAAGTCATAACTCAAAGGGCATTATAGGATTTAAAATATTAGACCATGGGTTCTAATTCATTATATTTATATAAGAATATTTAAAGAGTAATTAGCACAAAATATCCTTACATCTCAATATTGTTGTACAAAACATTCACACATTTTACTTTTTGGCATATTTATCTTTGATTGTCAAAAACTTCATTCTATCCACTTACCGTCAGTATCTACATGAACTGAACACAAAAAGCCAATTATCTTTTCAAAAAGGAAGGTTATTATAGTCTTACAAAATTTTTAATTGTCTCTTAATTGTGTATGGTTCCATTGCGATTTCCCCTTCAAAAATTTCCATTTTCTTCTATTTCTTTGTGCATTCATCCTATTCTCCTCTCCTCGCCGCATGGTCGAATTGAAGCACCCGGTGAAGGGTATTGAAGCGAGCATAGGTTAAAAAATTATTAGGTTGGGTATTTTTGTTTTCCATTTCATATTTTGCAAGACTCGCCTGTCTGAATTTGTGGGGAAATCCTTTAAGCTTGTAGACAAGAATAAAATAATTAGCCGAGTTTTTTAACGGGTCAGTTAATGACATGTATCTTGCACCAACTTATATCATTGCAGTAGATCTTGTCATCTATAAGACTGACGAAAATTTTATTGAACTTTGCTATTTGTACATTCGAGTTGACATCCCGGATGATACCCCCTCACAAGAGGGGACCCACATATAATAAATAGCAAAACCATATTTTATTTCAGCAGAACAAGCCTCCAACAAGAGAGATGGCAACGTCACGTTAATGGGTCATCACTATAATGGGAAAGATAACAATCTGCTGTCTATTGATCAAGCCTTCGACAAAAGGAATTACAATTTTATTTCAATTGGGGAGCAGTGGGAAAGTGAAAATAGCAATTTAATGTCAATTGGTCCAAATTACTATAAGGACCATGAAAATTTCATTGCAATGGATTTTCTACCATAAAGCAAATGAAGATTTTATGTCAGCAGGTCCTCTTTATGATAAAGGAGGGACCGATATTGTTGGAAGAATTTTGTGAATAGAGACGCCAAAAATAAGTATAAAGATAGGGACAAAGCCGAGGCAAGAGTTGGACTCTTTGTCCTTAAGTCGAATTTGCCCCGCTACGGTGCCTACGGATTTCGGCAATCGACTCCCAAGATACAACGGCTACACTTGTGTTTGTAGCACTCCAAAACACAAGTACAACGAACCAAATTTAGGCTTATGTACTCCAAGGATGAAATGAAAGAAAATCAAAATAAATGAATGATTTTGATTTTGGATAGAAGAGAGGATGAGAGACGTTTTGCATATCAAACTGTGAGGAATAGGATACCCAAAGGGTCCTATTTATAGATCATGAAAGGGTGTGGATGAAGTGGTTGGGGCCAAACCATGCACCCTTTCCAAACAATGCACCACCTTTATGAAAAGGTGTCTATTCACTGATTTTCGTCCTTTTTTGTAATTTCTCATTCATCCGATATTGGTTTTCGAAATGCCAAATATACCCTTCAATACATGCAGAGAAATCAAAATTCTCTTTCGGGGGCGTTGCCCCCGACCCCCCACGAGGGGCGCTGCCCCCTCGACCCTCGCGACCTGACCGGGCAGGTCGATCCCCGTTTGTGCGCCCCGAAGCGGCGAAGTGGCAAACAATTTTGCTTAAACGGATTGAGTCGAGCTTTTGAGTATTTGGTCGAAGTCGATACGAATTCAATTCTCGATTTATTTAACCAATATCCAACAGATATTACATCAATGACTTCAATTCGTGGTACAATTAGGCATGGGCAAAAAAATTGAAAAATTGAATAAATCAATCAAATCGTACCTACCCAGGTCAATTTGACACATGTAATTGGTTTGGTTTGGTTTGGTTTTCTTTTAAATAAAACCATGATGAATCGATTTAGTTATATTTTGAAGTCTCAAACCATTAGTTAACCGAACCAAATCCAACACATTTACAGGTTTACCATTTTTTTTAATTTAAGAAAAATAAAAATAAAAAGATAAGCCATACTCTCATAATTATATCTTGATTTCATCCAATCTATGATATTGTTGATAAGTAATAACATTGGAAAATTTCTTTCACAAGTTCATTATGTTATATTTAACATTTTTTCCTACTTAATCGGTCATACTACATAATACATGAATAAAAGCAACAAAGTTTTTAATTTTTCTCTTAATCCGTCTATATTAACCTGATTCTGATTTATTTATTAGTCAATAGTTATTGTAATATAAAATTATTTGTTATTTTAGTTCTTGTAATCTAAATGAACCTAAACTCGGATAAATTTAAAAAAAAAAAACAATTTGGACTAAAAGTTCAAACCAACTAATTGAATCGAATCAAACCAAACTGATTTGGTTTGATTCGGTTCGGTTTAAGAGCTAAAGTGAATTGGCTTATGTTAAAATTCATCCAAATCGACTAATTTGATTTTGGTTTCAAGTTGGAGTCGAAACCGACCTAAATCAAATCGCACTCAAGCCTATCTACAATAATGGAAAGAGTAAATGAAACAAAACGTCTTTACATTTCATTATTATTGTGCAAAACGTTTATACATTTTATTTTTTGATATTTTTACCCTTAATTACACATTTGATTGCACAAAACGTCCTTCTGTTCATTTTTATCCAAATTCACCGTGAAATGAGCACTTGGAGTCATTTTTTTAATGAAGAGCTATTTTTTATCTCATAACAGTTGGCTCTTTATTTAATAAAAATTGTAGTTGGGGTCCCAATAAAAAACAAAAAAAGTTAAACAAAAACCCAAAACCAAAAATAAATAACGTTCACCTTCTTCTCCACTCACCCCGACCCCCACACATAAGAGAAGTCCCAAAAATCTTGTAGAATCCTCTAAATCCTTCACGCCTCAAAAATAGATCTCATTGTTTTTAGGCATATAAAATCACTTGCTGCAATGTTTTCAAAACCACATAGGATAAAGTGTGCCCGAAACATGAAAAATAGCGCTGCCCGAGGAAGAAAAACTTGGGCTTATCAAGCAAATGTTGTTTCTAAACTGAAGGTCCAAACATATTGAGGTGAGGTATCACTTCATTAGGGAAAAACTGTCCGGTGGTGAGTTAATCTGATTAAGATTCATACAGATAAAAATCCATCAGATATGAGAACTAAAGTTGTATCTATAAGTAAGTTTAAGACATGTTTATCATTACTGAATATTGATACAGGGTAATGCTTTTGTAGGTACATGGGCAATGACGTAGGATTAGCCAAAAATTAAGTACATTTAAGCAATCAAAGAGAGTTAGATTTTGTGAGAACCAAGGTGAAGAATGTTGTGTATAAAATGTGTTTCTCAAAAATGCAACTCTTTTAGTTTTGCAATATGGTTGGAAGGCAATGTGGCAACCCTGGATTGGCTCAAATGCGTTCACTTGGACTGTGCTTCTTTGTGAGGCTTCTGGACTGTTGGATGCAACCTGCGGCTGAGATTAATTTGTCCCACTATGAGACTCTTGGAGATTGGACGGTTCAAGTTACTTTTCAATTTTCTAAGTCTCTAGATTCTTCGTCTCTCTCTCTTCTGGACTCTCATCTTCTTTATCTGATTTTCTTCGATCTTTTTGACCTCTTATGAGCGATCTAGCCAAAATATTAGTTGAATATGTGGGATTCATATTGCTACAGTAATCAAGCCTGAAATATTGGCTAATTCGGTGTTTGTAGTGATTGGTAGAAAGTCTTGTTTGTATTTTTGGTTACGTTCTTGAGATTTAAGATATCCATGTGTGGATTGATAATTATCTCTGAGTCCAATTGAATTTTCCGGATTGTACTCTCTTTTTGGATGATTATTGTGTGCTTAGTAATCGGACTAATCTTTGAGCCCCTCAGATTAGGCGATTGCCGAACTGGGTGAACAATTTTGTGGCGTTCTTTTACATTTTCTTGCATTGTGATTTGATTATTTTTTATTGTTTTCAAACTGTGTAAGGAAAGAACCCTAACACCTATCTCCTATTAACAAGGCATCTAATATTGTGGGTGTTTTTAACATTCCTTTTTCCTTATTTTTACGTCAATTGTGGATGAAGATATCGATATCTTGATCGAAGGGCCACATATGCATAGTTGCCTCAACCTCTGGTGCTGTTGTTCGAGACCATCACCTTCCTTAGGAGAATCACTTGATGAATTTGCCAGAATTTAACTCCTGTTCGTCAAACTTTGACTCAAAATCAACAACTCGTGGTGGCAAATCGGGTAAGAATTGTGAAGCCTCAACCAAGGAACAATGTTATCAGAATGGTATACATGATAGGAAGCTCATTTGCTTTAATTTCTATTTGAAGCAAAAGAAAATTTTGCGTTTTTGGGCTTTTTTTTAACAAGGCTTTCAATGTCTCGTCCATAGATTCCTTTATTGTTCGAGGCTTTAATTCATAGATAAGAGTTTTAAGGTTGTATTATAGAGTGATTGTACGCCTTGATGCTATTGACTATTCAATCGTAACAATTTAAGTCCCTGTTTGGTAGGGATTAAAATCAGTTTTTTGGTAAATTTTAATAAACATTGATGAAATGTGTAATCAAAAAGTCATGAGTCTAATAAAATGTGTAGTCAAAACTAATGATTGACTATGATTTTGACATAAATTAAAATTTTAATTTTGGTTTTCAATGGTGGCTAAGCTCGGCCAAAAAATTGAGGAGTGAACATAAGTAGACTCGTTCAGGAAAGGCAACTCGGCTTGAGTAAAATTAAGTCAAGCATTTTTTTGCTCAAGTCAAGACGAGCGAAAGCGACCAAAAAATCGAAGCTCAACTTGGGCTAAGCCTAAGTCGAGCTGATTCGATTTTTTTAAAATTTTTTTTAAGTGGTAGGTATGTGATGCCTTTTTATGAGCCGGCCCGATGAGCAACATGGGCCAGCTCGAGTTTGGCCTGAAGCTCCAAAATGAGGTCGAACCTCGGCTCAAGTTTTTTTCGGATCGAGCCACTGGCGGTCTGAGTTGATGAGACCAACTGAAGTGGGCCCACAGAAGGCCAAATATGTCATTCCATTCAGCCGGAATTTGTACAGTATAATGTACATACCGACGCTGTTGCTTTTCTTTCCCACGTTCTCGTCTTCTCTCTCTCTCTCCTCCCAAACAATTTTAAAAAAAAAAAAAAAGAAAAGAAAAAACCTTCGCTAAAAGACGAAATTCATGCACAATTCCTTTTGCTTTAAGCTGACTGAAATTTTGGATTTTTTTATTTATTTTACACGGGAGGAATAGAATTTGATGATGTTTGCGTATAATTTCTTTTTCTCCTTCAATTTTGGATTGTTAATCATTATGCACTAATTTAGGTTTTGTTTAAGAATAATAATGAAGAAGACAATGGAGAGCGTGCAAGATCTGATCGAAGAGGCTAAGCTTCGAACGGTTTGGTGGGCATTATGTATATTTGCCGTCTCTTACCTCTTGACGCGTAAGCTCCGGTTTCTTCATTTTTGTTTCTTCAAATGTAAATTTGAAATGTCTGTTTTTTTTTTTTTTTTTTGTTTTTGATTTTTTTTCAGCCACAGAATTGGATAAATGGCGTTTATTGTTTAAATTTGATATTTGATTTCAGCTGCCATGTAATGGTTTGCTGTTGTTGAGATTAAGAAATCATGGGATTGATATTTGTGAATTCGATTTTCACATTGCTTTCATGTTGGTTTCTGTTCAGGTTTCAGTTTCATGCGATTTACATTTTGAATTTTGTAAGATGACGTTGTAAAGTCGGGGTGAGAAAATGAAGAATGCTTATAATCTAATATGGATAAAGTTATTTGTACACCCAAATGTGTACACTTTTGTTGACACCTTCTATGTGTCAATAATTTAGCTACTGATTGAAAAAGGTGTTGTTGAGATGAACGTACTGAAATCTACCAATGCTTTGAGGTGTCAACTAAGGTGTAAACCATTGTCTACATGTAGCATGGCCCTTCTAATATAACATGTCAAATAGTTGAATTGGATTTGATTTGAGGCTCATCATTTTGGTAAATAGCTTCTAAGTGGGAAGTAATTAAATGTGTTCGTTCCCACTGCACAGCTGAAGTGTTTGAGTTTGATGACATTAGGTAAATAACAATGGTTGTTAATGACTAACAACTTATTTGTTGTAGTTATTTCTGGCTCATGCAATTAGTGATGGTTGGTTTTACATGTTTGTTTGATTTCAGTAGGATCTTTATTGGATATATTCTACCTTTCTTACCATGATGCCATTTGATATTCTTCGGAAGTTTCTAATTATAATTCATGATTTCAGATACAAGTAAATCAATGTTAATGAATGCGCCCATAGCTATACTCTTGGTTTCTGGGCTAAGAATGTTATTCAATGAGGTTGAATTTCGGTGGAAGGTTCATGATGTCAGACTGCAGTCCTACTTGTCACACTTAGAAAAAAAGCAGCTCTCAGCGAATGATTCTCGTCTTGCTACCATGCCTCCCCCACCAAAATGGAAGAGAGATATTGATTCCCCGGTTGTAGAAGCCGCTATGCAGGATTTTATCGACAAGCTTTTGCGCGATTTTGTCAGTGATCTGTGGTATTCTGATATTACACCTGACAAAGAGGCACCTGAGTTGATACGTGCTGTAATCATGGACGCACTTGGTGAAGTGTCTGGCAGAGTCAAAGAAGTAAACCTTGTTGACCTTTTGACAAGGTATTTAGCTGCCTCTTTTATCAAAACTTATCGTTGTTTACTTCTACGATGTTGTAAAACCATGTGAATTTATGAGTAATGATTACTTAAGTAATTAAACCTGGTGTGTGTGTTTTTTCATTTATCCAGGGACGTTGTAGACCTGATAGGAGATCACCTGGATCTTTTCAGAAAAAACCAGACTTCCATTGGTGTGGATGTTATGGGAATACTTTCTTCTGAAGAACGAGATGAAAGGTTGAAACACCATCTCCTTGCTTCTAAGCAGCTTCATCCTGCTCTGATATCTCCAGAGAGTGAGTACAAGGTGTAGAAGTGTTCTGAGACAGAAGAAAGTGATCCTGTTTTCTGTTTTGTTGGTTATTTTTCTTGTCATCTAATGTTTGTTAATGTGTAGTTTCTTCAGCAGCTCATGGGTGGACTCTTAACTATAGTACTAAGACCAAGGGAAGCCCAATGCCCTCTGGTTCGATGCATTGCACGAGAGCTTGTAACATGTTTGGTACTGCAACCTCTTATGAATTTAGTAAGCCCAGGGTGAGACTTTTATTTATGATTTACTTTTTAAATCAAAGTTAGTTTCATCATGTATATTTATGTGTATTTCATGTGCCTGGAGGTTTTTAGCGATCATGCAATCATTATTGAAGATTAAAATAGCTTGATATTAATATCTGATGATAATAACTAGGACTGTTACTTGTCTATTTGCTGTATTTGCACAAGCTTTTAAAATGTCAAGGACCATGTTTCCTTTCTGTTTCTACATAATGAATTTACCACATGGTGCATCATATAAATTTTTGGAATCATCTCTCATTTTATTTTACTGGAGTTATCACATCTGACTCAAATGTTCTGTCAATTATTTAATTTTCCATATTAAAACATTTTATCACAAGTTTTGTCTTTGTGGCATAAAGTCAAGTCTGATAACTAAAGCTAGACAGTCTTGGTTATAACTTGCACAACTTTTTACCATGACCTTATTATATGGCAATAGAAGTCAAATCCTTTCTGATGAGTGGGAAAAAGAGACAATTACTGCAACTGACTGGATACTTTAAGAAATGGGATGAGATTCAAGAGACAGATAAATGTTATCAATAATGGAAATGGGCAGCTGCACTTATGATGACTAGAACAATCAACAAAGATATTCCACTTTCTGCTGGGTTCTTATTCTTGTTTTACCGACTTACAAATAGAACTGTATCTTGTGGGATTATGTACATGTCTCTGCAAATTGTCTTTGTTTACTTCATTTCAAGATACAAATTGATGTAGGACCAGTGTATTGTAAAATGCTCCATGCAGTAGGCAGTGGAACCGCAAAACTTATGGGTGGATCATTCAGAAGTTGTGGTCGACAGTTGGGGACAAGTATTAAACCCGAATGATCTAGAGGGAGAGGGATTGGGGGGTGGGGGGAGGATTCGTCTACATTTCTGGGGCTGATGAAGAGTACCTGTGAAAAATAACCTTTAGAAAATCTAGGCTTTCTTGATTGATTAACTGGGCTCTACTAAGTATGGAACTTATGATTGGTAGATTGATGGGATAAAAATGGAAAATAGTGATGGGACACAGCAACAATGGTATATGGAAGCTAGAAGAACTTTTATAGTAATGAAAACAACGAGTTACAGCAACTAAATGATAATAGGCAGCCTTTCGAGAGGGCCGGATCTCTCCTAAATGGCACTTACATCAATCAGGTCATACCTCTCCTCCTTTCTCCCCTCTTATTTATAAGTGTGCCAAAACAGATTCCTAACAGAATTAGTTACTACCCCCACTCCCTCCCCTTCTCTTGATTCTTCTAGAATACATGTGCGTGATTGGGGGCCTATCAATCACCCTCCCCAATTCAGCCACCTTGTCCTCAAGGTGGAAGGTGGGAAATTGTTGGTTGATTAGGCTGTAAGGTTCCCAGGTGGCTTCCATTGGAGGCAGTCCTTTCCATTTAATCAGTACTTCCCTATCCTCAGCATCACTGGTTGGAATAGCTCGGGCACCCAAAACTGTTTCTGGCTCTACTGTTAGTTCCCAGTTTGCACCAAGGTTCAGTGGTAGTTGAGTGGTCAGATGATGTTCCCCAACTGCTCTTCGTAGCTATGAAACATGAAAGACTGGATGAATTGCGGTCCCCGGCGGCAGCTCTAGTTTATAGGCAACTGTCCCGACCTTAGCCACAATTTTAAAAGGTCCATAGTAGCGAGGCGCTAGCTTCTCATTGATTCGGTGTGCTAGTGTTTTGCGCCGATACGGCCTCATCTTCAAATAGACTAAATCACCCGTAGAGAATTCAACCAACCGTCGATGCTTATCAGCCATGTTTTTCATTTGCTGTTGAGCTCTCAGCAAGTGAATCTTGAGTTCCTCCAGGACCCTGTCACGTTCTACCAATTGTTGATCCAAGGAAGAAACAATGGTGGTGCCCTTCTCAAATGGCAACAGAGTTGGGGGATCTCTCCCATACAGTATGCGAAAGGGTGTCAAATGTGCGGATACATGGAAAGATGTGTTGTATGAGAGTTCTGCCCAAGCCAGAAAACGATGCCATTCCTTAGGTCTGAATGTAGCAAAACAGCGCAGATATGTTTCGACACTCCGATTCACCACTTCTGTCTGGCCATCGGTTTGAGGGTGATAGGCCGAACTGTGCTTTAATTTTGTCCCCTGCAGACGAAACATTTCGCTCCAGAATTTGCTTAGAAATACTTTGTCTCTGTCAGATACTATGGAGCGTGGCATCCCGTGTAAACGAACGATTTCCTTGATAAAGATTGAAGCGACTGAGGGTGCGGTGAATGGATGTTTAAGTCCAATGAAATGAGCATACTTACTTAGTCGATCCACCACTACCAGAATGGAATCAAATCCCTCCGACTTAGGCATACCTTCTATGAAGTCCATAGATATGTCTTCCCAAACCCGTTCCGGAATGGGTAGGGGTTGTAATATGCCGGCTGGCGTTAATGTTGAGTATTTGCACTGTTGGCAAATTTCACAAGCAGCCACATACTCCCGAATGTCCTTCTTCATGCCAACCCAGTAAAATGTGCCAACCATTCTCTTGTAGGTTTTAAGAAATCCTCCATGTCCTCCAATTTTGCTATCATGTCCTTCCTGTAGAGCCAGTCGGACCAAAGGAGAGTCCTTTGGTATGGTGATTCTGTCCTTGTATAATAGGACTTCTTGCACAATTGTATAGCCTGGGTAAGACAACGAGTTATCCTTAATGGCATTCCTCATTATTCTCATATGCTGATCCTCCATTTGTGCTCTAATGACTTCATCTATTTGCAAGACACCCGGAATGCTGAGAGCCATAAATGTTACCGTCCCTCCTTTTCTGGATAATGCATCAGCTGCCCTGTTCTCCAGCCCAGGTTTATATTCGATGTCAAAGTCGAATCCCAACAATTTTGTCAACCATTTCTGATACTCCTCATTGATCACTCGCTGTTCGAGGAGAAATTTGAAGCTCTTCTGATCTGTTCTTACCACAAATCGCCTTCCCAGAAGGTAGTGTCTCCATTTTTGTACTGCCAAAGCTATTGCCATAAGCTCCCTTTCATAAATAGATTTTCCTTGAGTCCTGGGTGGAAGGACCTGGCTGAAATAGGCTACAGGTCTTTGATTCTGCATTAAAACGGCACCTAAACCAATACCAGAAGCATCAGTTTCAATAATAAAAGGCTGTGAAAAATCTGGAAGGGCTAATACCGGAGTTGTTGTCATGGCCTCTTTAAGTTTATTGAATGCAACTTCAGCCATGTCATTCCATCCGAAACCATCCTTTTTTAATAGTTGAGTAAGAGGCCAGGCCATTTTCCCATACCCCTCCACAAACCGCCTGTAATAACCTGTTAATCCTAGAAATCCTCAGCTCCTTCAGATTTTTTGGTCTGGGCCAGTCACTCATTGCTGCAATTTTGGACTGGTTAGCAGCGACTCCCAATTCTGAGATAATATGCCCGAGGTACTCAATTTTCCTTTGCCCAAAAGAACACTTTTTCTTGTTGGCGAAAAGCCGGTTGTTTACCAGGATCTGCAATACATCCCTCAAGTGGTCTTTGTGCTCCTCTTCCGTCTGACTGTATACCAATATGTCGTCAAAGAACACCAAAACACACTTCCTGAGCATATCTCTGAAAATATCATTCATTAAGGACTGAAAGGTGGCCGGTGTGTTAGTCAAGCCGAAGGGCATGACCAGGAATTCATAATGTCCTTCATGAGTTCGAAACGCAGTCTTTGGCACGTCTTCCGCCTTAACCCGAATCTGGTGGTAACCTGATCGGAGGTCGATTTTTGAGAATATCTTAGCTCCATGTAACTCATCCAGTAATTCATCGATGACAGGGATTGGAAATTTGTCAGGCACAGTCACTTTGTTTAAAGCTCGGTAATCTACACAAAAACGCCAACTCCCATCCTTCTTTTTTACTAAGAGTACCGGGCTTGAGAAAGGGCTGGTGCTGTGTTGAATGATACCGGCTGCCAACATCTCTCGCACTAGTCGCTTAATTTCATTTTTTTGAAAGTGGGGATATCGGTACGGTCGGACACTTACTGGTTCAGCCCCAGACTTTAACACTACTGCATGGTCTTGTCTTCGTTTGGGAGGCAACTGTGTGATATCCTCAAAGACTGCGTTATATTCTTCCAGCACTTCTTCAACAATTTCCGGTGGCCTTTGCAAAGGTGGATTGTGGGATAACGTGATGTTCCCTAATTCCAGTAACAGCCCCTCGCCTTGTTCCTTGAAAGCCTTCCACATGGATTTCAATGACACTGGAATTTTACTAAGGCTCGGATCTCCTTGTAAATTAACAGTCACCCCTTCCTTGGCGAAGGACATTGTGAGATTCTTCCAGTCGACTTGCATCCTTCCTAATTTCCGTAGCCACTGCATTCCGAGTATGACATCGGAACTCCCCAAATCCAAGGGCAGGAAGTCTTCCACCACTTCCAGGCCCGGCAGCTTCAACCTTATTTGTCTGCACACGCCTTCCCCTTTCACGGTCAAACCTGTGCCCATTATTACCCCATATCCGATCGTGCCCGACAATGGAAGTCCTTCATCCTACACCAGTCCAGCTGAGATGAAATTATGAGAAGCCCTACTATCCACTAGTACCACCACCTTCTTCTGGCCAATCCATCCCTGTAGCTTCATCGTTCCAGGTGCCGTGAGCCCAACCACCGAATTAATGGAGAGTTCGACCGGTTGACCCATCGAACCTCCCCCCGGTTCGGTCGCTACCTGGTCGTCCATCGCGACTCCGCCTCCCACCAACTCTTCCGGCACCGCCTGCTCCGAGTCTTCCAACTCCCGAATCACCAGTACTTGCAGCTCCTTACTCTTAATTTATGGCCAATAGTAAATTTTTCGTCACAACGGTAGCATAGGCCTCTTTCTTTCTTTCTTTGAAGCTCTGCGTCAGTGAGCCTCCTGAAGGGTGCGGACGATTTGGAATATGGGTTGGGATGATTTGTGGTTAGATGTAAGGGAATTGTGGTTCGGGCTTGGGCGATCTGGGTTTGTGGGGGATTTGGGCTATTGTATGGGATACTTTTGGGTTTAATTGGGCTTAAATTGGTATGGGTAGTTTGGCTAACAATATTTCGGTCCTCCACCATTTGGGCTATCTCCATCATCTGCTCCAGGCCCACCGGTCTGAGTAAATAGACTTCTGCTCTGATTTCTGGCACCAACCCATTAAGAAAAATTGACTCCAGCATCTCTTCAGAGATGTCTTTCAACGGCGTGGCAAATTTTCCAAACCTCCGGCGGTAATTTCTGACCGTGTCCTCTTGCCGGATAGAGAGAAATTGAGCGCACAAGGACCCTCCCTGTGTGGACCGAAATCGGCGAAGGAGTTGAGCCTTTAGATCCTCCCAATTTGTTGGTGGCCTTCGTTTCTCTTCCCACTTATACCACGCCAGGGCTTCACCGTCAAAACACACAACAACTGCCTCCACTTTATCCTCTTCACTTATTCGGTTGAGGCTAAGATACCTCTCCACACGAAATATCCACCCATCTGGATCATCTCCCTCAAAAACGGGCATCTCCAACCGTCGGACTCGTGGTTCCGACCTCCAATCATTGCCTGACCCCACGTTGTTCTGACTCCCCTTTAAGCTGGACTGTGTTACCCCAGATTCCTGTTGTGCCACCGGGGAGTTTTCCATGGCTGGGCCCTTATCCTTTCGTTCCCTTTCCTGATTTTCCCAAGTGCGCAGCAGAAGATTGAACTTGGAATGTATCGACTTAAACTCCGATCGAAGGATTTCGAGACCGGTCTGCATCTCCTGATGGTTACTCTCAACCCTTTGTTCCAATTCTCCCATTCTGTCCGCAAGTGTCATGGTTCTTATTTGGGCTGATTTTGGGTGCTCTGATACCAATATTGATGGGATAAAAATGGAAAATAGTGATGGGACACAGCAACAATGGTATATGGAAGCTAGAAGAACTTTTATAGTAATGAAAACAACGAGTTACAGCAACTAAATGATAATAGGCAGCCTTTCGAGAGGGCCGGATCTCTCCTAAATGGCACTTACATCAATCAGGTCATACCTCTCCTCCTTTCTCCCCTCTTATTTATAAGTGTGCCAAAACAGATTCCTAACAGAATTAGTTACTACCCCCACTCCCTCCCCTTCTCTTGATTCTTCTAGAATACATGTGCGTGATTGGGGGCCTATCAAAAGAATTACAGTGCTGGAATTGTTTGATGAAGAAGAAGAAGCGACTTGGACCAGATAAGATAAAATAACATTGTCTTGTGATAGAAGGGGAAATCATTATATCTTAAAACAACTAGCAAAATAATCATGATGTGAGGCTAAGAATTCTTTCTCCAAACAAATAAAAATGAACGAGGGAAATTGCGTACCCATGTTTGCGAGGTGTGTCAAGTCAATGGATCATAACTCTTCTATAATTATTCTCTTCAATTTCAAGATTCATTTGGGATTTCCGAGTTTTTTAGTGGTTGCATCTTTTTCCCTATCTGCCAATATGTTTCCATCCCCCCGTGAGAAGGTAGAGAGCAAGACCAACCCAACATTTTATGGATAGCGGTTAAAATTATAAATGTTTAACTGTTCATTACATTAGTAGTTCACCATGCATTCGGGAAATTTATCATTTTTAGCACTTTTTCAGGTATATTAATGAATTGGTTGAATACATTTTCCTTGCCATCAAGGCTGAGTTGTTCAAGGATGGTGGCACTGATCGGTCATCTAATATGGAGGGTCATAATCACGCTGCTGGCGAATCTGCTCTCGAGAAAAATTTATCTGCTGACAGTCAAGGAACTGATATGACTTTAGCTCGTTTTGACAATAAAATGGAACTTATGTCTGGTGCATCAGGAAATTCCTTATTTGATACATTGCAGGATGAACCTGCCCATCCACGACCTGCCGACTGGGCCCGAGTGTTTGAGGCTGCAACACAGAGAAGAACAGACGTTCTTATGCCTGAAAATCTTGAGAACATGTGGGCAATTGGAAGAAACTACAAAAAGAAGCTCAAGAAGAGCACTGCCAATGGAATCCGGGCTCCCAAAACAGCAGGTTCAGTAAGCAGTGTCATGCCTCAGAAGGAATTGAACAACCCCGAAATATCTACCACAGTGGAAGATAAAGCTGTGATGCAGCTTCTATCTATGCCTCAACCAGATGCTGGGCTTACCGATCACGACACTAATGCATTACACATGCCTCAGGATCTTAACAAGGAGGTATCTTCAAAGAATGGATCTACTGCTAATAAACTTGAGGATACAACTATAGTTGTTCCTCTTGAAAATAGAAACAGGCTCAAGAGATCAAACAGCACTTCTGATTTGAAAGTTCAATCTGATATGGAAGATACATCTACTAGCAAAGGTGGTTCACCCATTATTTCGGAATTTTATGGTGTGGATATTAATGGAAGTAATATACATAGTGTCAAGAGTGTATCAAATATGGTTCTGCGCAGTGAAGGACTGCATGTTCCGAGGCTGAGATGCCGGGTAAGACAACTCATTCCCCTTTTATATTCAGCTTCTCAAAATGTTCATGGACTCGGCATTTATAAATTGAACTGTTTTGTTATTCAAGAAGAGAAGCTTCACAATTCATGCTTTCGGTATTTCCTTTATGTTCAGAATGAGGGTTTGGCCTCTTCTCTTTTATTGAGGCATACACGTTTTCTGTGAAAGATTAAAAACTTTAGTAGTACTTCATACATATTGTCAGAGAATGAATAATTTGCACGCAAGCATCTGTTCTGCTTCAGTATCAAGGTGGTGATATTGATTTATGGATTGTGCTTGTATTTAGTGGGATTTTGTTATGCCAGTAAGTTATTCCTTAGCCAAGTTCCACAAGAAAGCTCCACTTAAAGCTTGTACTGGACATGTGGATCCTCCTCCTATGCTAGAGCCTAAGGCTCCCTGTGGACAGTTCCAGTAGAAAAAAGCTTCGTACACCCTTTGAACCGTATCCTTTGATTCATACAGAACCTCTCCCTTCTGTCCTCTGCTTGTTTACTTTCATCCCTCTTCTCTTCTATTGTGGCATACGCTTTCTCTGTGAAAGGGTAATATTCTAAGGTTAAGTAATATTTCAGCTCTATTGTTAGAGGATGGATAATTTGAACGCAAGCATATGAGCTGCTTCGCCTAGCAGCAGGATGCTTTTATTGCCCTTCCACAACTCTGTCTTCACGGTTTAGGTTGCTGCATTTTGCTTGTCACTATTAAGTAAGTTGATTGATTGACTGTGTTTGCATCTTCTGCTAGATTTTAAAGCTAGAACTTGATTTAGAAAGGGGACTGTATATTTATTCTCATTATTTTCGGATGATTATGTACATGTTTGATCTTCAATATTTTGATATTGCAGGTTATTGGAGCATACTTTGAGAAACTTGGCTCAACATCGTTTGCAGTTTACTCGATTGCTGTGGCTGATGCTGAAAACACTTGGTCTGTAAAAAGAAGGTTTGGGTTTTGCTTCCAATTCTTCAAAAACTATTGCTATGTTTGAAGTTCCATCTCATTTTTTGTTGGGGATTTTCAATTAAGGTTCAGACTTTCAGTACAAGAACAACTTTGGTTTCATCTATCTGAGATAGTTTCTTAATTAGATTGGCATTACTTGGTCTTTCCAGGTTTGTTGAGCCAATTCTTTTGGTGATAATTTGTCTGCAGATATCGAAACTTTGAGAGATTGCACCGGCATCTCAAGGACATTCCTAATTATATGTTACATTTGCCTCCCAAAAGGATATTCTCATCAAGTACAGATGATGCTTTCGTTCACCAGCGTTGTATTCAACTTGACAAGTATCTGCAAGTATGATCACCCCTACTCAGGATGTTGCTATTAACTCTCTTCCTTATTTAGCTGTTTTAATTACGTTGTCTTTACCAGGATCTATTGTCAATTGCCAATGTTGCTGAGCAGCATGAAGTATGGGATTTTCTAAGCGTGTCCTCTAAGGTGTGCGTGTATGTAGTTTTTTGAGAACATATTCATTACCTTGGGAATTTTTATTTTTATTTATTTATTTATTTTTACTGGGGAAGTTAATTTGCATTTCTTTTTCAATGAAGAATTACTCATTCGGGAAATCATCTTCAGTGATGAAGACTTTGGCAGGTACCTGGCTTGACTTCTTGGATCTCATCTTTATCTTATTACTCAGTGGCTCATATTTTTGGTTGTGTGCATATCATTCATTTCTACATGTATAGAGTTCTTGGGATTTATTGAACTAATGTGTGTATGCTGCACTTCAACTTGTTGCTAATTTTAGAATCATGTCATTTGTGGTGAGGCTGTTGAATGTTCTAGTATCTATATGTAACTTATTGTAAATTATAATCAGAAGTCCATGATAATTTCTGAAGGTTTTTTCCAATTTGAATAAGTTCAGTGTCACTAAATTCTACCTTCTTGTTAGCTTCTCACTGTATTCTTCATACTCTTTAGATTAACTTCTTCGATTGGGCAGAATTTTGGCCATGAAGTTATAGTTGTCTCGCTGTTTTTGCTGCAAAACGCGAAGAAATTGAAAATGCATGATTGGTTTGTTGGCACACTTAACTTATTTTAATCATACAACTAAACAATTACCATAATTATTTGCCCGTGACTGGTTATGCATATCATGGTACACGGAAGAATTGTGATAATATTATATATTGAAGGTTATTTGTAGACTACTTCATTAGAAAACAATACAGCTAATTACTCGCTCACTCCTTCGTGAGCCTAATCACTTTCTTTTTTCCTTCTCTAATTGGTTTCCTTAAATTTGAGTTTATGAGTGTTACCTAAATGTTATAGTCATTATCGGTATTTTCCTTGTCTGAACAGTTAATGTAGATGATGCTGTGGATGATATTGTACGGCAGTTCAAAGGAGTCTCTTATAGCTTGAAGAAAGTTGTCGGCTCACCTTCCTCTATGTGTGAACCAGCTTCTTTAGTTACAAGCAGAACTTCGTCGTGGAAAGCAGATAATATTAAAAACCTGGCCTTGAGTCACAATACCACCGAGTCAATTAACAGTTTCTCTGATAACGATGAAGGCGATAAAGATGAAAGCCATGGGCAACAGGAAGTAGTATCTGCTGCACAAGCCAATGGGAGGCTTTCAGACTATGAATTGAACTCAAAGGGGTTTCCACCAAGACATGTGACATGTGATGAGGACTTTACCTTGAATTCTGAGGAAATTCATGGTCAAAGAGTGCAATCTGAGTCGCACAGTGTGAGCAGATATTCAGAGTATAGTCTTGCATTAACATCTGTTCCCCAAGAGGATCCAATTGGGGTGCCTCCAGAGGTACAGTGGTAAAATACTTGTATTCACCTCCCCTTGTCCTTACGAGTAATTATCCTAATCTCATTTTGCCGGAGCAGGTCTTTGGTGTTCACGTTCTCTCTCTCTCTCTCTAATTTACTTGTGCACTTTCAGATCTTATTGAATGCTGAATTTAAATAAACAAATTTACCCCTTTTAACATTTTAAGCATGTAGAAGAGGTGGTTCACCACAACATGTGGCAAAGATCCCGAGTTTAAGTTTTGGCAGTTTTGACTTTCGCTAATTGATGCTGGAGTTTTCTTGCAGTGGACTCCACCCAATTTAAGCGTTCCTGTTTTGAATTTGGTTGATAAGGTGTTTCAGCTGAAGAAAAGAGGGTGGCTGAGGTGAAGCTATGGTTTTGCTTGCTTCTATATTTTGAACTACTTTCTGGGTTTATAGTTTATGTGTAGTATCAGATTCTTTAACGTCTAGATATCTTTCGTGTATACATGCACAATTTATTGCGGATATTTCAGGTGTTTTAAAAAGAAAGGTTTCAATTTGTGCATAAAAGTTGATGTGTTTAGCCACTATCATTTAGCAAAATGTGCAAACTTTTATTTTCTTTCAATGACAGATGACTTGATTGCCGAGTCCATCTCTGAACTTCTTTGCATCTTTCCTTCTTTCTTTTTTTTGAGTGTACTTCATGATCAATCCACACTTCATGACTGAAAAAAGGAGTTTTACATTCACCACGTCGACAATTTGATGAAACTGCATGAAATGGTTGTGTTAAGAAAGCATGCTGCCAAATACAGATCATTATTTAGTCTGAATGTATTATTTTTCAAATTTATTGCAGGAGACAGGTGTTTTGGATATCGAAGCAAGTATTGCACTTAATTATGGATGATGCTGTTGATGACTGGCTCTTAAGGCAAATTCAGTGGCTCCGAAGAGATGATGTTATTGCTCAAGGAATTCGGTTGGTCCAGGATGTGAGTATTTGTCTTGGCCAAAAGTATCTGAACATTCTGTTGTTAGGTTCCTTTTTTCAGTTTCACTTTGCCCTGAAATATGGTCCTCTTAAAATGCTTCATTACTATATGTTTTGGTTCCCCCCAAATTTTAGGCATCTGAATTTTTTGGAGCTATTATTCACATTCCAATCAGATCTTTCCTGCTTTGAATTTTGTCTTTTGAGGAATCTGATTTCTTAGTTAACTTGTTAATGTATGCTTTAAGGTTTTTTCCCTTTTTTATTTTATTTTTTTAAATTTTAATAATTACCCTGTTCTGGGATTATTATCTCCTTTTTAGATTCTTTGGCCCAATGACACATTCTTCCTGGGATTGAATATTCAAACTGGACTAAATGGTAGTCAAGCACCAGGATCTCAAAGATCAACAAGGCAACAATTTAGAACTTGGGCCTCTAAACAAGGAACTTTCGAGCAACAGCTTGAAGCCACTCGCATGGCTAGCGAAGTGAAAAAGATTCTCTTCGGTGAGTAATTCTTACCACTCTGCTAATGATATTTAGGGTTAGAAAAAGATAGTCACTCAACTTATAACATTGTTCCAAATCAGTCTCTAACCTTTCATTTTTGTTTAAGTTTAGGCACCCTGTTTACCTCCATTTGCTAAATGAAGAGAAATGTTTACATAGAGGGTAGTTGCAATAGCAGTGTTGGTGAGCACATGCACACATGCCGCTAGGTGGAGGTGGGGATGGAGAAGAAATTTACAAGTCAATGCAAGGCAGTATTTTATCAAATTTAATAAACAAGATTGCAGTAACACTGTCCATCACAAATTTAATAGTTTTTTGAATGCATACATTAATACAAAAAATTCAAACAATAGATATGTGTCTGCAACTCTCTGTAATTAATGTATAGAGCTTAAAGATCAACACACATCATAAGCAAGTGCAGAAGTGCAGAAGTTGAAAGCCTGGTTGCATGTGATTCAGTGGGGAGAGGGGGGCAAAGAGATCCACAACTTTCACTTTGATCTTCGACTTGAATTTAGGGGTTGGGGAAAAAGATGAAGATTTTTCTTTTTGTGCACATATATTTTTACTTTTTGTATTCTTTGAAAAATGCATTTCGAAAGCATAACTAGTCCAACAAGACACGTTTTTGTCTACGATAAAAACAATGCACTAACAGATTTTTCATGCCTCACTATATTTTCTGTTGGTCGCATTAGCTTTTCCTTTAACTTAGAAAACAGGTAAATGAAGTACTTAAAATCCAAAATATTAAGGAAAATTCTGTCTAATTTAGGGGGGAAAATGTGTATTGACTTACAATGTTATTAGCCCTGATAAATATGGTGATGGACATGTATTTGATGACAGGGAGGATCATGAGGATGGCCTCGCTTTCATGATTGCTTGTTATTTCTATGTTCTAATTTGATAAACTCATGGCGGAAATCATTTTATTGAGTCATTGATTTAGAGATGTATCATCTTCATCCTGGCAGATGGGGCTCCGACTGCTTTGGTAAGCTTGATTGGGCATAAGCAGTACAGACGTTGCGCTAGAGATATCTATAACTTCCTTCAGGTAAATGCTCCTCCACCCCGGGTGGGTTCTCCTTGTGCAAAAAATAAATAAGTAATCTTTGTTACTGTTTTGCAGTATTGTGCCAAATGCACCATTATATGTCCCATTTTTATTTTATCCTTTGACATGGAAAGAGCTGACCTCAGTAATGTTTTTATAAATCGCAGTCTACAATTTGTTTGAAGCAACTTGGCTACGGAATATTAGAACTTCTAATAATATCAGTTTTCCCAGAGCTACGTGATGTTTTGATGGATATCCATGAAAAGGTGCGTGCTCAACACGAATAGGATTCTTAAAACGAAATGAAATAGCAAATTCGTTTGCAGGAGCTATTTAGTTCTCGGCTCCATGGACGTTTTCTGTAGAATACCCAATTCTTTTTTGTACAAATTGTACATTAGAATATGCACAGATTTAACTTTGTGTTCACTTGACACATTGATTCAGTAGGAGCAACGCCCTTTTGACGGACATTTTGTAATATTATTCTGCTTCTAAATTTGAGAGGTTCAGGCAATGAGCATTAATCTTTTGTGGTATTTATTACATATTAACGTTTTTCTCCTTATATTCGTTCTGGCAGTAGCATGTTTGCCTAGTAAATAAGTTGATTTTAAAATAATAAATATTTTATTGGTCAAATTTGAAATAAGTTACTTTTGACAGCAAGTGAAGACTTACATTCAAAAACGTAATATTTTCACAGGTAGAAAAAATTTAAACTATCTAAACAATTTTTGGTTTAAGAGACTTTTACTTATTTTCAAGAATTTCTGCTTTTGTTTCGATTATCATGCCTTTCAGGAATTCCTCAATCTATCTCAGTTGAACTGAAACCTGGTTCCTTCTTCAATTTTCTTGATCTCAAATATATTCTAGTACTTTTCGCATCATCCCAGTTTCCAGCTAAAGCATACATGTTTGAGAGCAATACATACTGCCCCACATCATTAGGTCTCGACTCGAATAGTTTTCGAGAGATCTTAATTCCCATCTCGACGTTCTTGTGAACCTGACAAGCACTAAGCAAGGCACTATAAATGTCTGGGTGCACATCCATCCTCTTCATCAGTGCATAAGCATCATCTAGTCGTCCGGCACGAGCAAGAAGGTCGATTACACACACATAATGCTTTAAACTAGGAACTATAGACCAATTCGCAACCATTTGATTAAAAATTTCAAGCCCTTGATCTACAAGTCCAGCATGACTACAAGCACACAAGATAGAAACCATGGTTGACCCATCTGGGATTAGACCTGAACCCTTAATCTTCATAAACAGATCAATTGCAAAATTTCCATAGCCATTCATTCCATAACCAGATATTAGTGCATTCCAGCATACGATATCCTTCTCTTCCATCCATTCAAAGTATCTTTTCGCGTCCTCCATATTTCCACAATTAGCATACATGTCTATAATAGACGATCCTACAAATACATCACTTTCAAAACCGGCTTTTATCACCAGAGCATGTACCCTCCGGCCGTGCTGCAAAGCTCCTGAACAGCTGCAACCGGAAAGGATACTGACCAAAGAAACAGAATCCAGCAAAATCCCGTCCACTCGCATCATCTTGTTCAAATGCTCGACTGACCTTTTCGATTCTCCACTTTTCGTAAACCCTGACAACATCAATGTCCAAGCAACCACATCCTTTATGGGAATCTCATCAAATACACAATAAGCATCGCTAGCAGAATTACCACTTATATACATTTGCATCAAAAAAGTTCTAAGCAATTGATCATTCACATATCCACTTCTGATTATCAAGCCATGGACTCCAGTTCCTACTCGAATATCTTCCATGCTCAAACAAGCCGAAACTAAGCTCATCATGGTAAAAACATCGGCATAGAATCCTTTTCTCTTCATCTTTTTGAATAGAGATACTGCTTCATCCCCAAATCCATTATCAGAATAACCTGAAATAATCACATTCCACGACACCACATTCCTTACAGACATTTTGTCGAACACATATCTAGCAACACTTGTGCACCCAAATTTTGAATACATATCAACAAAAGCTGTTTCCACAATAATATTGTCTTTGAATTTCTTCCTAATCCAATAGCAATGTACTGATTTTCCCATCTTGGCAAATCCCAATTTCCCAAAAGCTGGCAAAACACTCGCTATTGTTAACTCGTTTGGCTTAATTTCTTTAATAATCATCTCATGGAAGGCCTCAATAGCTTCAATATAAAGGCCATTTTTTGTGAACCCTGATACTAAAACAGTCCAAGAAACTAGATTTTTATACAAAATTTGAGAAAATATTATCTGGGCTTTGGCCATAAGCCCACAAAAAGCATATGAATTTACCAATCTGTTGCACAAAAAAATATTGCCAGAAACACCAGAGGTGATTATGTGGGCATGAACTTGCTGCAGAGGCTTCATTTCTCTGAGTCCTTGAAAAATTGAAGTACGTAACCTTTTGGTTGAATAATTATAGAATATTTGACGAGAAAATTTTAAATTCAAGAAAAGTAATGTTTTTTGGCGCCAACAGTAACGGTAAGGTACTCTGCAATGGCGGTTCATTCTTTCTCCGTTTTACTCGATAATGAGTGAAAGCTGGAAGTATATTGAAGACGAGAACTTTACAATTTTTTTTCAAAATAAATAAAAATAAAAATGAAGAAGAATTTTTACAGATGCTTGCACACAAAGAAAATACTCAAATAACCAACAAGTCTATTGGGTAAAAATTGTTGTGCTGAGAACATTTTGGATAAATATATATGTATCGAAAATGGGTTATCGAATTGATGCCCTACTCTCACATGCGTGCGGGCCTTGCGTGCATTTAAAAATTCCAACTTGTGGGACCCGCCCTCCTATTGTGAGTGTAGGTAAAATATTCGGTAAAAACGTGTACGTAAATGTAGTATTGTCCGAACATTTTTAACTCACTTTTTACAAAGACTTATGTAAAGTTTTATTTCTTTAATTAAGTAATTTTAAAGATTATCATATAATAAACAGACTAAGTTTCTTTGGAAAATGTTAAACAAAATAAGTAACTTAAAAATAAAATTGATGTACAGCCTAACAATATCATTCCAACCCATGAACAAATATCCGCAACATTATGTTAATGATGCAAAACATTATTAATTAATTTCCATTTTTATTTTTCATTTTTGAAGAATTAAAAATAAAGATTGTTCAGAAAGGGGGATTGAAACCTTAATAAAAGAGTAATATTATTGACAGTGACAGGGGTATTTTTCTATGTTGTCCACATCTATGTTTGCGTTCGAATGTTATTCTCTTACGTTAAAAATTGGAAAGATTGCAGTGGAAATCAAAGAAAAACCTTTTTTATTTTTTATTTTTTTAAAGGCCAGATTTACCAACAAGATTTTCAAGGTCATTTTGCCCTTAGCTACTGTCCAGCTGAAACTGGTAAGACATGCTTTGGTGCATTATTTATGCTTGGCAGCATTCGCAAAGGCTAAAAAAATCATGGCTGGATACACGAACTAATCAACGGCAATAAACATTAGGGGGGTAAGTAGTCCGATTTTATCAGTTTTTGACAAATTTTCAAATCAAAACGTTTAAACCGATTTGAAAAAACTCAAACTTAAACCAAACCATTTTGAACGGTTTGAAAAAAACTCAAATCTCAACCTAGCGGTTTGGTCCGATTTTAAACTGCCGGTTTCGTCGTCTATTTTTTTGTCTGCCTACTTTTATGACATTAATTCTCCGAATTCAATATATATTTATATTTTACTAGCAATAAATCTAAAACAATCTAAACTCTTGTTTAGACCAAATTTTTGGGACAAAAAATGAAAATTTGGACTATTATCCCACAAGTCCAACCGCATTTGTTGACCTGTTGTTTCATGCGTGGGACCCAACCTCCTCTCCAATGGTTAATTTTCTCATTATGATAACATGAAAAATATGGCTCGAATAGGGGCTAAATATATCTACTATAAATATAAATATCTACTAAATTCAAAGTGAAATTACAACAAATAAATAAAAACATAGTTTTTTTCATTTTTGTTCACATTTTTTAGCCTAATGACGTTATGATAACGTTACAATACAAGTTTACTAAACGAGATATAATGCCCAAAAAAATAATGATATCCAACAAGATCTCGTAAACATCATATTAGAAAAAAAATGTTACTGCTTAGACAAAGAGAATAACCAACCACAATAATAAAGCGGTTGTTTATAATATTTAAATATAACAATTACACAAGCTTACGTTTGTATGATGTTACGAAGCGCATTTAGTTTCAGATTTTTATCTCAGTTTGCTAAAAAAAAATTATTGATTTGAAACTTTATTTGTAGGAAATATTATCACCGAAAGTCTAGGATCTCTTTGTCTTCGATTTGGTGTAATGGACTACAATTCAACTTTGAATAGGCGTAAAAAATCTGAAGAAAAAGTGTGTGTGGTGTCGGTGGCTCAAGACTGTGTCGGGTGTCGGCTAGAATTCATCTGAATTCTGAAGAGGAAAAGAGCTTTTGATAGATTATGTTAGTTTTGAAATTATTAGATATAAATTAAGACTATTAGGTAATAATAATATATATGTATTAGAAAATTAGAAATTGACAAAAATATCCACAAATGACAAAACTATTGAATTTTACATATTTGGATGAATTTTCAAAGAATTTCATTTTTTATTTTTTTATTTTTATATATTTTTTCTGGTCCGATTTGGTTTTAAACCGCAATTAAAATTCTCAAACCTAAACCAAACCATTTTGACCGTTTGGTTTGGTTCAAAACCATTTCGTTGATTGGGTCCACGTGACATCAAACCAACGGTTTCTAAAATGCGATTTCGGTGCGATTTTTCGATTTTTGTTTACGGCCCTAATAAACATGCGTATTTGAGCTGATCGACATCAATGAACTACCTCTGCTAAAATTTCGTATATTTTGTGAATATGAGCACAGGCCTGAAGTGAATTTAACTTGATTGAATTAAGCAGTAGACAAATTTTACAGTTGACAGTGGAATTTTCTTTTTGATTTTGCATACTTATATGTTGAGTTTAACTATTTATATTAAGTTATATAAAGAGAAAATTTAAACTTATTTTGGATTAAAATTCCACATCAATGTTTATGACTTTTAAACAGGTCATATAATATTCCATTAATGTTTGTAGTCAATACTTTGTAGGTTGTTCTATATAGGGGAGAGTTTACAAAAATATCACGAAAAATGAAAGTTTTAAAAAATTTGTCATTTTACTTTATGTGAGCAAAAATGTAATTTTTTGGGGTGAAAAATCCAAATTATCTTTAATGACACATTTTTAGTAGCATTTAATGCTTGATTTGAAGGAAAATCATTGGTTTGATATGATGATTTCTATATACAAAACATGGATAATATGATTTTATTTATTAATATGAATTTTTGTTAATAAAAAATGATAAAAGAAATTAAAAAAAAAACTACAAACCCTAACTTTTTTCATCTTCTTCATTTTTATTGATCAAGAAGACATTTCTGTTGCATTCTTCATCTATTTTGAGAGGTTAGCAATTACAAATCATTTATATTTTACTCTTATAGTTTTTTGTTTTGTAAATGTTAAATACAATATGGACATATTTATTTGAAATTTTTTAAATTATTATGCATTGATTTTTTTGGTTTTGGAATCCTTCACAAAATATCACTATCACCATTAAGGTTTTGCGTAATTTCTTCCGATCAAACCAAACACTGTTTTAATTAAATGTCTCTTTAATGACAAAGTCAATTTGACCTTTTCATTTTGTGATTTGGTAGCTCAATAGTAATGACCACACTTAATGTGCCGTGCTGAAGAAGCCTAAGTTCCACCCACTACCGTCTGCTTCCAGACATTTTCGACAGTTCAACTATTGAATTTGATATTTACAAACTGTAGGGTTAGACGTTTGAAATGTCGAACACGACATTTACAAACTGTCGGGATATATAGTTTTACTATCAATTTGGACACTTCAAAACGATGGAAACCCTTGATTTGGCCTTTTGCTATTGTACGGATTTACGTATTAGATAGTGCTACTTTCATGCTGTTAAATACCAACATATTGATTCTGGATTCTTACCGTTGCAATCCTAACATTTCATGTATGAATAATCATTTAAAATTCATCGTATCCCATGGGGGAAACTTTGTTCATGCGGATGACAAATGAAAGTGGAAATGAGACAAAACCACTTCCACTCAGGTGCCGACAAGCATACCGTAGCCGAACTTCTGTTAAGGTTGAAGGACAAAGTTGGTATTCTTGATCCACGTACTCAAATTGAATTGAAGTTTAAAATCCCTAACTTGAATATACCTCCAACCGAAATACGCAACGATGAAGACTTAAATTGGTGGTAAAAGTGATTGTCAAATATAATCCTGAAAATGCTCCCCTATGCATTGTACATTTCGAACTTACGTTATTAATTTATTGTTATTATTATATGCTAACAAAAAATTGGTTGATATGTTCCGCAAGCAAAGTATCGATCCATTAGCACAAAACAGGATGAATACGTTATTTTCATTATAAATTTAGCAGATCATTATGGTTTCACTAGCTTCGACTGACAGTTTGTCGAAATGGAAAATTAATTTTCATGAGATGACATTCATAAGCAAAACACCAAAATTACGTCCCGACAGTTCATACGTCGTTTTCGACAGATGATTTTTGCAATTCTCGACAGTTGGGAACAATAATGACTTCCAAAAATACACTACTGCGATTACTTGTTATGGACATGTTGTTGCTGCATGTATGTATAAGACTCGATCACCCCTACCACAAAATACTATACATAATTTCCTACAAAAGGGCCATTTATTGAACACTAATATTGCTATCTTCATTTTATGCTTCTCCCCCACTTTCTCCATCAGAATCGTCTGAACATATGACAATTATTTTTGGAGGTGGAAGGTGAGTCAACCACTCATCTGAGTCGAACGGTGATTGGACCGGACCCCTGACTTCGAAGACTTGATCGAGCACGCTATTTGGTGACTTAGATTCTGCACTTGACACTTCGTCGAATTCAACACCATGGTGCTCAATGCTTACCTCCTCATCGTTCGAGGATAAAACGATGGAAAATTTAGCGGCCGAACCCAGTATCAACGGATGCATATTGGAGTTGAATGATTAATTGCTGGAGGTGGATGAACCCATTATCTTGTATCAACTAACTATTTCAATATGAGAATCTCACAAGAGCTTCTCTAGTCTTTCAAGGGGTGGATTATGAACATAAACTCGTGCATTGCTATTTATAATGAACTTGTTGGAGGATGGTTAATCAAGGTCAATTAGTTTCCAACTACCAACTTATCTTCATCACATCTCAAATTTAATTTGATAGACAATTGGTGTGATGCCTTGAACCACAAAGTGTACTTCTATTGGTATCTATTCACTATCATTTCCTCATTGGTGTTTTAAAGGAGAAACTTATAAAATGCACCAAATTCTATTTTTTCAAAAGCGAGAAACTTATAATCTCTAGAATTTCCATTTATAAACTACGATCCGGATATTTGTCAAACTTATAATTTCCATTTTTTCAAAAGCGAGAAACTTGTAAAATGCACCAAATTTCTCATTTTTCGAAAGCCAGAAACTTATAAAATGCACCAAATTCTATTTTTCAATTGGATACCAGTTTTAATCTCTAGGTCGAATGAGTTCAAAAGCAAGAAACTTACAAAGTACGCCAAAAATAGTTTTCGTACCAACATTTTCCGTACAAAATCCATATAGTTTCTTTAACAGTGAATGTCACTTAAACATAACGAACATTTCCCAAAAAATAAATATACAATAATGTAAAACAAAATGTTCCTCCATACATTCTCCCCAGTCACCCGAAGTGGAACATTGTCAACGTCGCTCTTTCTTTGACAAGGACATCGATTGGTTCCACCTCCCATTACAACAAAAACGTGTCGATCAACACTTTGTTGCTTGTTCAGGTCATAAGTACGAATCTGCACATAGGCCGTCATACATAAGTAAAATGAGTATTTCAAGACAGCACGTAGAAAGCAAGGTGAAGAAATGCAGTACCATTCAAGCCCATGCTATTTTTATACCTCACAAAATGACAAAACGTTTGCCAGAATTTCAAAAAGGTGTATAGAGTTTGTGATTCAATCCATTTGCATTATAAACTGTATTGGAGTAGAGTTTTATTGCATCCAGTACGAGCTCAATAAGTACAATTATAAATTAGGTTCCAAATATCATGGCATTTAAGTTATCAAATGCAATTGTACTACCGAAGTGTGCCAAAACAAAAAAGAATTGCTCACTTATTTTTTCGCTCTCTTTGCAGTCCCCCTTGTTTACAGAGTCTTAGTAGACGGTGTAGGATATCGTAGGCGTGCAGATCGCCGCATCTTTGTGATATGTGGCTTATCCCCAGGCACAGCTGTGGTGGCATTCACCGGCATTTCACTCGCACCACTTACAAAATATTGCAGAGGGCCCTAAATGTTTAACCGAAATTTGTACCACTGATCGTAACCAATCAGATCAATGTTTTCCCACAAGAAACTTACCATCCCCCTCCGCCATGCAGCTAGCGAAAGCAATTGGGTCCTGCTCAATATTTTCCACACCAGCATGGGGAAACTTCCTCGTTGCCACCGTCCCTTGAACCAACAAAAGTTTTTCGTCGTCGTCGTGTATGGGTGGCTGGGGTCCATGCCGCCTCCGCCTGCTATTACAAAACAACATACTCAATATTAAACTCCAATGTGTAGTTCAGTAAGTCTAGCGTGCATACTTGGGAATGACGAGACTCTTTACTACGAAACAAAATTGGACGAGATAATTAACGCGCATACCATTCTCCTCTTGCATGTCAATTCCCATCTCTTCGTCATGGTTGTCAAGCGATGAGTGGTGGCCTCCTCCATCTGCAATAAATGGACAATTACATTGAAATGAACGAGCACAATATTTGACACCAATAAGTATACAATAAATCAACATTGCAATATTTGACATGAATGAGCTCAATAAGTGTACAATAAATCATACTTTATGCGCATACGGTTCCGCACAAAATGTGTCAGGGTCGGTGTCGCCTCCCTGTACGTCTAAGTCACAGATCCATTGTTTATGAAGATGTCAGTGACCGGGGGTCAAGTCAACATTCTCATAAAGAAATGTAGTATGCATATTATAAATTACCCGATTTTCTAGACTCGGGGTCTACAGTAGCCGCATGTGAAGTGAACAATATCTGTTTGTATGTATCAAAACATGAGCTGTTGGATTAATTGGGTAGAAAACTGGAGATCGAGAACCTCAGCTAAGAACTTGAGGCATGAGTTGCGGAAGTTGGCCTGTTATCGCTTGTCAAAATGCTCGATGACTGTTTTTATGTACCGCAGATTGCTTCTCTGTGATATGTAGCCCCACAGTCGTGCATTCTCCGGAGCAAGAGACTCGAAATCCATGTCAGTAAAGACAAAACAATAAATGAATGCGTCAGACCATAATATAATACTTTTAACCGCATGTAGACCAAAAATCACAAGTATGCTGTGAAGTGTCTATCAAAAATTCCACCCAAATACAACAAGTGGATTGCAAGTGAAAGTAAGGTTTTGACACACGTAACATAAACATTGAAACAAAAGATATGTCAAGCATCGATCAAGATTTTCACCGAATGCATACAACTAGTATCACCCATATTACTTCAAGTCAACCTTTACAAATTTACTAATATAAGATCGAAATTAATTCAAAACACACTAAGTTGAGGCAAGGACTGAACTGTCATTCCTAACATTTTATCTATCGATAAGTTCATTTGTTGAGAATTACTGAGGTTAATTGTCGAGAACGATAGTTCAGCAACAACTGTCGACAGATAAACTGTCGGGAGATCTATTCTTTTCCTTCCCACATAGGTATTATACAAAAGATTTTCACTCCATATTCAAGTAGAACGAAACATTAAATCCACAAGTATGCTGTCAGGTATAAAGGTGTCAATCGAGATTTCCACCTAAATGCAACGAATACTACCTACAACAGATGGATTGTAAGTGAAAGCAAGGTTTTGTCCACATCACTAAACTGATCGATTCTCTAGTTTAGTCCAATGATTTTGATGACTTTTATCCACTCCTAAAGTCTATCAATAACATGATGTCAAATCTCATTTGGAGATTAATAATGTTTTCACCATTGATGCTAAAATGTCATCATATGTGATATATATTTGGATAAACATGTAAGTTCAATTAAATGTGGTGCTATGAGACCTATTTATTGGACATATCATGTACTGCCACATAAAAGTATGTTTTAGTATCTACGGTATTGTATAGCATTACTCTTTGAAGATAGATGAAACCAAAAACAAAAACAAAATGAAATTGTCTATATACTATAGTAAACATAAAAAGAACATATATCTAGTTCCAAATTGCTTATAAAACTTATTACAAGAAAAACATGAAAAACACGTAGGTGAAATTCGTTATAAGAAGTTATAACATTCCAATTTCAGTGCAAGGATCAATGTGTTTGTGTAACTTTGTTCTTTGAAAGGTCAAGGATCATGTGTCTGTGTAACATTCGTTAGAGTTCCAATTATCTACTATAGTTCACATTTTCAATTGACTCCAACAGTTAAATAAGATATAAAGCAGATAGACAAGTGACTAGAATATTACAATTTCGATTATAATGTCAAAACTTTTCCTTGAAACATATTTCTCTTTATGTTAACTTTAGAGTTTGATACTAGTGCTTTATTACTAATGCATAAAATATGATTTCAGATAATATTGTTTCTCAATAAGAAATTTCTTTAGAAGTCTAAAAGATAAAGACATATAAATATATCTAATTTTGCACAAGCCAAAACACATCCCGGCAATAGGCTGGAGCCTGCATAAGAGTTATGCAATTAAGATTTTTAAAGCGGGTCTTAAAACAAGATACTAAAGAAACAAATCAATTATGCATTTCTATAACCACAGATAACCAGAATTCGTAAGCAAGAGATAATTTATGTGAAAAACAGAGGATTGTGTAATCATGATATTTTTAAAGTACAAAGGAAGATTTGATAAATGTTGAAAGCAAATTACCTTATTCATTAACCTATCATCCATTACAGAACTATTAATTCTCTTAAACAGCTCAAATAATGCTTCAACTTCACTAACACTGACTGCAGAAAAATAAAATCCCACGTATTCAGGTTTTGACTTAAAAAATCCCGAGGAAAGCATCGAGATAACCTATCACAGCAACAACCTCAGATGACAATGAATGAGTGTTGACTCGAAAGCTAAGTGAAATAATTTTTATTGTCAAGTGTAAATAAAATATTTGTTTAGCTTGTTAATATAAACCCTAAAGAGATTTTAAGGCGTAATGTATTAATAACTTTACAAATTTTGATTAAATGCAACGAACAGGCAAGTCACAGCTCATTATAAAAAAATACAATACAATACAATACAAATGCTAAACTACAAAAAGGATTGTGCAGTAATTCCTATTTCCCTAAAAATCGATCATAACCCAACAAATAAAGATCAATAAACTATATTTTCTTGTTCGTTACGGCTGATTGGCAGCGACAAGATTGTATTTTCTTGGTGGAACATAACAGAGTAGATATTATGAAAAGCTAATGGAGAAGAAGAAACCAAACCTGGGGAAGAAAGTAAAACGTGGGGAAGAAAAAGAAAACGACGATAGATGAAAAGGACAAGGGAAAGGAAAGGAAAATTATCGAAAATGAGTGACATCGACAAGGACGGAGCCACGAAAATTATTTAGTGTGGGCACAATTTAAAACTTTAGATGGTCAAATTTTGAGATTTTTGCTAGGCAGCCTAGGCTTCTCCTAGTCAGTGTATAAAATATCTAGCTACAAGAATAGTTCGTAAACAATACTTATTCATTAGTTAATCATTTTTCACAATAATAATCCCTCAAGCTTTTCTCATAATAAGAATTCCAACAACAAAAATTCCTCAACCTCCGGCGTAACTAGATTTACAAAGACAAGGCAAAGATTTGACAAGCACATATTTTACATGATATAATTTTAGCAAAACATAAACCTTAATTTCATACACAAACAACAGACCTATCGCTAGTTTCTCATTTTGTTTACCAACAAAAATCACAAGATCACACCTATTTTTCGCCAATGTTATTAAGAATAACAATATCAAATTCAAATTCAAATTAAATTATATGTATGTGATGGAATGGAGATTCACAGAATGTACTTGGTACTAGTCGGAATAAGTTGAAATAGAGCATAATCAAGATGTGTTCTTGACTCCATGATCTAACAGAAATGCAAAAGCTCACAAAAACACACACTGAGAAAATTATTTATTGAACGCTATTCTAAATTTTATAATTTGAAGAATTTGCTGAAATTATTTTTGGGATTTCTATTTATTTCTATTAAACGTTATGATTCATTTCCATTTCCACTTCCACTTCCACAGAAAATTAAAAATGCTGCAATAACCGAATTCCGACAATTACGCATAGTACTAAACTAGAATTTTAAAACAAAATATTTCAAAATTCAATTAATCACTATGTATAACAAAATCATAATTCATTCCCTAATGTAAATGGCAAAAAACAAAAACAAAAACAAAAAAGGAACTAAAAAACAAGAAACAAAGAGAGAGACGCTTATAACGACGATAGTGGCGGAGGGTGGAGGCTTGGCGTCGATGACTCGGGGGTAGCAGGTACAACTTACAAGGCTGAAGAAAGCTCGGCATTCAATCATGCCGAAGGTGTGGAGACTGTCGGCTGCGCTTTGAGTACAAACTGGTTCGATTTGGACAAACCAAATGGGGAGAGAGAGAACGTGGGACGTGGCAGGAAGAATAATGGAAGAGAGAGAGAGAGCGAGGATGATTTGGTTTTCAAAATTTGAAAGTTTCTCTCTTCTTTTTTTTTTTTTTTTTTGTGCAAAGAATAAGTATGCCATGTCACTTTCTCTTTCAATTTTGTCAACAGACTTGAGTCATGTAGCATGAAATATTTATTAGTCAAGATTCAATCACGTGGGCCAGAATGATATATAATGTATTGAAATTATTAAGTGGGCTAGAAATGTCCAAAAATATTCAAAAATGACAATTTCGCAAGCTCTTTTAAAAAGTGACATATTTGTAAATGTAAATTCAAATTTTGACATATAGTGTAATTTCCACTTCTTTTCTCTTCTCTTAGTTAGATCTAGATAAATTACATGTCATCTAAAATTTGAACATCAGAGATATGTTGGGAATCTATTTAACATGCGCAGCGAAAAATTATAACAGATTTCGATTCACACCAAGAATCGTCTTTGTGTTTAGATAGAAATTATGATAAGATTGTACATTTTTCAGATCTGCAAACTTCTTTACTATTCTTTTCATTCCAACAAATTTTATTCGCCACCCACAGCTGTCCAATTGTCCAGCCTCCAATGGTGATCCACTCAGAGAACAAGATTGCAGCTGCCAGGGTTTTCTCCTCTTCTGCTAGCAAGAATAATTATGAGAAAAACCATATGAATTGAAAACCCTACTCATGTATTTATATAAGCCCAAACGGGCCTGGTCCGGTCCAGTCCAATATTTAATTAATCCATTTAATTAAATCTGATCCGTGAATTAATTAATCCAATTAATTAATTCGAGTCTATAAATAATCAAACCAATTAATTAATTTATCCAGCGATTGTTAAATTAATTAATTGACAAATTGTAATCTTCCAATTCTCTTTTGTGTGCGACCCATCAGGTTCCCGATCACGATGCCTAACGACGTGAAATATTATTTTGATCTAATCAAAATTGATAAATTAAAACACTCTTTTAATATATCACCAATTCACACTCGTCATCCCAGATTGACATCTAGCAATGTGTCGGGGCAATACATGTGACGGGAAATGTCATGTGGTATGATAAAACCAAACTCATTCGTTTACCGTGAAACTATAATCCATTCGTCAATATGATCCGATCAATTACGAGATATGGAGTTGTGTCAATCCCGAATATCGATCATATCTTTCACTCCACAATTAAATCAATATAAGTTGAAAACTCCTTTTCGACTTATGAGTATACCTTGACCAAGGATTTCATCATCGACTTAATTGAATGAAATACAGATCATAATCTCCTACTATCTAAGAGTGACGAATCATTTATTGGTCAATCACAGCCTTCATACGATTCTTGACGTACTCGAACGATGTGGTATTAGCGACCATTTGCAGAGCAACATCCAATACCGTCAAAATATGACTGTCTTCATATCAGATACCATGACGACCTCAAGTCAAAGGACCAATTCCACTACCGAACGTTAGAGATTAACCACTGACACTCAGACAGTTATCCATGTGGAATCTCTCGACGGGTCTCCAATGTTTTGTTCTATAACAAAACATCCACATATTCATTTAAGTGTCACTACACTTTAACTTGTGAGATCAACTACTTACTTCACAAGTAAGAAATGCCACACATGATGGTCTATCTGTAATAACGATATCCGTATCTCGTTATTACTTACAACCACGAACGATTTAAGATTCAATCATATGTAATTTGTATCTCACAATCACAACTCCTTGTGATTAACAAATTACGAAAATTTGAATATACGGACTCTATTATTTATTTAATTGTCTATTAATTAAATAATAGATCTACCATTAAATTATATTAATTATATATAAAAAGTATTTATGTCCAAAGTTGATTGGACCTAGGGCATAATATTTACAAACTCCCACTTGCACTAGATCCAATCACTTATGTATCCAATATCATAAGTCTACATGACGATCATGTTTATGCTACGACAACTCCTTGTCAGTAGATCTGCAATATTGTTAAATGTGGAAATTTGTTATTCTCTTTACGTCATTTCTATGTATTATCTCTCTGATGAAATTATACTGCCTTAATACATGTTTGAATCATTGATGAGATCTTAGTTCTTTCGCTTTCGCAATGGCTCTATTGTTATCACAATACAATGGCATGTGATCAACAATATCAAGAACTACTCCAAGTTTATTTATGAACATCATGATTCAGATTGCAACTATTTGCTACTTCTAAAGTAATCATGTATTAGGTTTCTACTATTGAATCAACGGTTGCTTCATGTTTGGAACCTTTCCAACATTCCGCTTAAAAGTAACCGATTTCTCCATATGAAATCTTCTCAAGATTTCATCTATGTAAATTGGGATGAGTTAGGCAATTTTCTAGATCTATCTCTATAGATCAAGTTACTTCTCCCATATCGTTCATGAATAAATCCTTTAACAACCATTATTTCAACGAGTGAAACATAGGGATGTCGTTTTCTATAATATTAGGAATACGACAATGCTCCCACTATCTTCTTGTAAACACACAATTCTTCAAATTTAATAAAATCAAACACTTTGACTTTTTCATCAAATCTAAGATTTCAGTTTCAAGAGACTTCTCTTAACCCATAGTCACGATATGCAACTGTTGCAAGCAAAACCCGAATGAATTTCAGCAAAGCTATGGGAGAAATGTTTCACCAAGGTCGACATTTAACCTTTACTTTTAGCCTTGCTTTGTATATATAGATATTCTCATCCATATCGACCTTTTCCTTGCAAATTATTTACAAAAACTTATGGGTTTTATTTCATCAGGAGGCTTGACCAAGGTCCAAACCTTGTTCACATACGTCGAGTTCATCTCGAGTTTTATGGCCTCTGGCCGTCCCTTTTAAGTCAACACTTGACTTTATGTTGGTGCAACTAGCAGGTTCATTATCCTGAATTAGTAATACCTGATTAGTAATCATAGATTCGCACCTTCTCAAAGGTCGAATGATCCTATTAGATTCACATAGAGATGACATGTCCTCAGGAGTCTTTACTTCCTGATCAAGAGTATGTCCCATATCAGATATGAAATCAAACTCGAATTCATCTACTTGGCTAACTATATTTGTGGACTCTTGAACTCTTTCATGTTCTATTTTGCTCCCACTATCCTCCCTTAGAGTAAATATTTTCTCGAAGAAGACGATATGTCGTAAGATGAAGACTTTCTTCACAATAATATAATTTATATTCAAACACCTGGTTTGAATATTCCACAAATATATATTTATCGGATTTTGTCTCAAACTTATCCAATTCAAGGCGCTTCAAATAAGTGCCATGGCCCCAAACTTTCATATGAGATAAATTGGGACTACTGCCTTTCCATAACTCGTACGAAGTTCTGTTAACCAACTTAGGTGTGACATGATTTAGTGTGTTGCACACTGTAATCAATGCATAACCCCAAAACAATTTTAGGAGATTTGCATGACTTGTTATTAATCGCACTATATCTAATAGTTAACGATTTCTCCTTTCAGATACACCACTATGCTGTAGTGTATATGAAGGAGTCCACTGCAACATAATCTCATTCTCTCTTAGATAATCTATATTTTATTTTTAAGATATTCTCACTTGATCGAATCTTAATGTGAGGATATTTTTACCTATTTGTTTTTTTACTTCTAGTTTGAATCCTTTGAACTTTTCAAGAGTTTCATGTTTGAGTTTTCATCAAGTATACATGATCATTGATGAAATAAGAGAAACATTACCTGACATTAATTGACACGAGTCCATATACATCACTATGCATTAGACCAGTAATTATGCTGACATTTCTTCTTTCCAAGTAAAAGAAGATTGTGCCAGACATGCATAATTTGTACTTGTCAAAATCAATTAATCCCAAGTATACATCTCTGTGTAATTTTGGAATTGCTTTTCATCTATATGACAAAGTCTGTCATGCCAGATTTAGGTAATAATTAGATTATTAAATTATTCCTTATAATTTCTATACTCATTATAGAATCCTTAGTATTAAAAAATATAAACGTCGTTTTGTAATTTACCATAGCCATTAGGATCTTTATCAAGATAAACAAGAACAACTATTGTCCTTAACATTAAAATAGTTCATGTCCGAACATGAAATTCATTTTAATGTTCCAGCTATGGTTGGTATAAAACGACATTTCTCTAATTCCAATACTAAACCAAAAGGCAATGGCAAGAAGTATGCCCTTACAGACAATGCAGCAACCTTTACTCATCTTCAACGTGTAGGTCAACTTCTCCCTTTCGTAGTGGTCGACTTCTATTTAGTTTTTCTATATTTGTATAAATATGAGATTTACATCTGGTATCAAATACCTAAAAAACTCGTGAAGTAGACGGAAGTCACGCAATATTCCTTCCAATAACCTTTCATTCTACAATGAAACCAAGGGTCATTAGATTCGGCATTGTTCTTCGCTTAGACTGTCTTAACCATGTTGGGTGCTTTCTCAAAGCCTCTTTAGACTTCCTCTTAATATCTTTAGAGAAATCAGTGGTTTGCCCACTACCAATTTTGATAAAGGGCTTAACAATTTTAAGCATGTCAAGCAACTTAATGAGTATGCATTCGAACTTATTCATATTATAATTCATAATTAGTATGAGTAACTCTATGACAGAGATTGTAGAGCTAAGTCAATACTTAATTCATAGTTAATGATTGAAATCAGTTGAGACACTTCTCATGTCAATCATCTTCAGTACATGAGGATTGACTGAAGATTCTTTTGTCACTTTGCATCGGTATAGTTGTTTGAAAGTCTCATATCATTCCACACATGATTATTATCATACAACTCTTTGTAATGAAAAATTATGTGTTAACATCTATACTCTCAAGTTGCTTTTGTAACTCATGTGACATAGTTGTAGGTATCACATACGTTGCATTACTATTATCATCACTGCGTTTATCATAGCAGTCACCTCTTCCTTAATCGGGTCAT